TTTTTCTGAGTTACATCTTGTATGTCATTTGTAATTACAAACTTAGTACCTGATATTGTGAAAAAGACAAATCTGCGAGAATCACTGTTCAACATAACAAGGATGTCATCATTCAGAGAAATTAGTCCACTTATCTCGGGGAAATCTACCTTAAATGTCTGAATAGAAGTTACTTTGGGTATTCTTATTACTGATCCAAAGACTTTTTTCATAAAATTTTCTTTTGGCTCAATATAAATCAGTTCTGGGCGCTGTATTTCCAAAGCCGATTTATCTGGTATGTCTTTGCTTAAGTTTTCTACAGTTGAGAAAACTAAAGTTGGCTCTCGTTTTTCTAATACTGCATGAAGTGTATCTTTTATTGTCTTTAATTCTTGCTCTACATGAAAAAGTCTTTCGCGTTCTGTAACTACTGGATTATATCCCGTATTCCATATACCTTCCATTACGTCTACAAGGTTTGATGCTTCCTTTGTTACTGCATCTTTTACTTCATTTTTCCTATTAGAAATTTTCTCTTTTATTTCGTTGTGTTTTTTTACCTCATCATCATCCATTTTTCTAAATTTGGCTGCCTTCTCTTCAAAGAAGGGGTAACATGCATCAATTTTTCTTTTTAAATTTTCGAGTAAAACAAGTTTTTCTTCATATACATTATTAAGTTCCTCATACTGATATGGTCGGATTAAACAAGACGAGCATAAGGATTTATCACAATTAAGGCAGTATGTTACACATTTCTTATCCATATGATTCGAACATGAGATCTCTTTCAAGTCTACTTTTTCTAGATTTTCCGAATCCTCAATATTGTCTCCAAATTCTGTAAGCACAACTTTATGTTCAGATAATTTGTCAATTTTTGTATGAATTTTTGTGTTGCATATATCACACAGATTTAAATCACATGACTTGCAATGCCCTTTTACAGCAGTCGACTACAGTGTGCATGGTTGCAAGCCATTTTCAATTACCCATTTGAATTTCTTCAGATTTGTTTTCAAGCTGGGCAAAAAATTAAGCTTTTAAACTGCAGTTCACCTGAAGAATTTAACTGGTTAATGAGGCAAATTTTTAGATTTCATCTACACAGCTTTAAATTCAAATTTAACGTGCTAATCTACTTATCTACCAATTACTTTTACTGACTTGATCAAAGTTCATGTACGCATGTGATTCATGTAAAGTTAATTGATAACATTAACAGTAAATGAATAATAAATTATCTGTAAATACCAGTTTCAAAGCCTTAAGTATTGTTATATATGTTTAGCCATAATGGAACTTAATCAAGAGATGAACGTCACAGTTTCCAGTACATTCTTTTTGTGGCGGTTACTGGGTAATTTAGGGGTGGAGATTTCAGTAAATGTGGAGATGTTATTTGTCTCAGTCAGGTTACACGATGAAAATAATGCTTCATAAATTTCGTTCATCCGAAAAGCTTTTCTGGACTTACCTTCATCAGAAACGCTTTAACCCGAGAAATTAAAATGAAAGAATAATAAATACATGAACCCGTCAAGTGTTATCCGACCAAAAAAGAATAGTAAAGCCCACCCTATGAAACCTTATAAAAGACTTATTTCTGTGAACAAAGAGTGCAAAAGATTCATTTTTATATGAATGAAAAGGGGAAAAAAGGAGTACGTACGCTTCAATGGCACAGCAACATTACGCCACAAAAAGCACCAGAAGCTTATAGACGTCAACGTATGGTTTATAATCTGTACAAATGTAAGGATCCAAATCACCAGACTTAAAAGAGACAGATATCTAACAAAGATCTGTAATAAACACCAAAAACATTGATATGACTAACAATATCCATATATAGTAAGATTTCTGACAGGCTTATATAGAGCCCGTAAATTTAGATACAATAAACTTATTCTACAAGGTTACCAACTAAACACTGTAATAAGATCTTTAAATATTGTTTTGTCGGTTAAAACATTGATTTTGTTACCAATAATTTAAAACATTACTAAATAGTACTGATATACAGCTATGAACATTTATGGTCCTACATTCTGTCGATACTTATATTTTTGGCATTGCACAAGATCATATTTCTCTCTGACTGTTAACTACATCTTTACACGAACTCCATTAAATTATTTTAGTCTTGCATACATGATGATTTTTTTATTTGTTGTTATTGGCTTTGAACTTTGTACTCTCAGATGTGTACTTTGTGTGTTTAGTGATTTTGTTAGTTGTTTATTGTGTGCTTTGTGTCAATCTGACGAGTAAATATAAATAAGAAGATGTGGTACGAGTGCCAATGAGACAACTATCCATTCAAGTCACAATGTGTAAAAAGTAAACAATTAGAGGTCAAAGTACGGCCTTCCACACGGAGACTTGGATCACACCGAACAGCAAGCTATAAAGGGCCCCAAAAAGACTAGTGTAAAACAATTCAAACAGGAAAATCAACGGTCTAATCTATATAAAAAACGAGAAACGAGAAACACTTATGAACCACATCAACAAACGACAACCACTGAAAATCAGGTTCCTGACTTAGGACAGGTGCAAACAAATGCAGCGGGTTTAAACGTTTTAATAGGCGCCAACCTTCACCCTACCTGAAACAATAGTGTAACATCACAAAATAGAAAGACACACTATAAGATATCAATTGGCTTAACTCAATCACAAGATATATTAACAAAAACAAGTGAGCATACACTGAACGAATAAATTTGATCTATGACACAATATAAATACAAAATAAAAAAAACAAGGGGTTAGATGTAAAACAATATCAAAAAAACAACCATAACCATGGACAAAATGCCGCGAAATAAAATAACGTACACAGGTAAATAAATATAATTTTGTTGTAAGGTATACATGTAATAAGGAAATATTTTTTACAAAATAAATAATTTTGTTGTTCCTAGTACGAGAACAAAAGTGAAAATATATCGTCATACTTAACACTTATCAGAGGTGGTATATATTAAAAATAGTGAAACTAGATATAACACTGAATAAGTAAACATTAAATAACAAAAATACATTACAAATTGTATCAACAGGTCAAATTAACACGAAAGTACGATTTGAGAGTACTCACAGTTACTGAAAGCTAGTTAAAAGCCAAAAACAATTAATAATAAAAAATCATGCATCAGAGACTAAAATCAACTAAAACACATTCCAGGGATTTAGTGTTAAGACCAAATCAATTTAAAATTTGAAAAGCAAAAATTCCAAAAAAGTTGTGCTCAATCGGGTTTTGGCCATCAATGCATGTTGGGAGAAAAAATAGAGTCTTTCAAATGATTTTAAAGTTTTATGAACAGAAATTTTACAACAAGAAAAAAATGATGTATCAATGATGTTTCATGTTGCCACAGTAGTACTAAACAAGTGATACTTACAAGAGGTATCAAACAGTGTAGGAATTCATGCAATGTCTTTCAAATAATTTGGACCTGGTAAATTAGGGGGAAAAAATTCCCTTTATTCTCAAACCATTTAATTTACAAGTTTTGTTCGAACCAGATTAATAAAGTGTTATTTTCATTTTTAGTACATTTTGCTACACTTGTCTGACCAGTATAGATGTTGTCCAACCATACATTTTTTAACAATATATTTTTGTTTGGAATGTTTGGTTTTTTTTCGAAAAAACATTTTAAGGGGAAAATTTCGCCATAATGAATACCTTTATTTATTCAAATGTTATTTGAGTGTAACCAGGGGAATAACCTTTGGTAAATTTCACTGTCTAAATTGCAATATATAGATATGAACTTGATTAAAATGTCCTTGCAAACTAGAAGGACATTATTTATTATTTTTTAATTCTCGTTTTAAATTGGCCCCATTTTGAAATATATCAGCATGACGAAAAACGAGAACAAAAGAAATCATGGAATATGTTAACTATTAAATCAAGACTGACCAAAAGCTTCAGAATAAATCATCATATCAGAAGTATTGAACTAATAATGTTGTCAGGGCACCACTAAGCAAAATTGAACCAAAACAAAGTTTGTATTTTATTTGACCTTTCAACTACTTTGATTCCAGAGTAACTGATGAGTCTTATGTTGACAAAAAACTTGTCTGACCTACCAAATTATAAGTCTGTTATATTTGTTGAGTTTTTAAAGATTGTGAGGAAGTATTTGTTATAAGGCAATTTGTGGGAATATCATACACTATATATGGATTATTTGTATTGCTCATTAATGATACTCCAGCTTCATTCTTTACATATATACCCTTTTAAATTGAACAGTGCTATCATTTGGGATGTATAAATATGCAGCCTCTATTGTAATTACTTAAATTATTATTAGAAACTAAAGTTTCAACTCCCTCAGGCAAAGTTGACCTAAGATGGCTTTGGCTATTTTTTTTATGTCCTTTTTGGTAATAAAGCTCTTCAACTGTTTCGGTTCTTATACATCCTTTCAAATATTCGTCTTTGAGCGTTCCTGATGAAGGTAAATCCAGAAAAGCGCTTTGGATGTATGAAATTTATAATGTGTTGTTTTCATTTTGTAACCTTAATCAACTATGAAATTTTAGAATTATACCAATTCAGATCAGACAGTGCTATTCTTTGGGGATGTATATCTACACAGTCTCTGTTGTAATATATTAACTTTTGTCCCCTGTGCAATTTTAGAATTGTACCAGCTCATTTCGCACATTACTATACTTTTTGGATGCATATCTATGCAGTAATTAGGCTGTTAGTTTTCTCGTTTGAAATGTTTTATATTTGTCATTTCAGGGCCTTTATAGCTGACTATGCGGAATGGGCTTTGCTCATTGTTGAAGGCAGTACGGCAACCTACAGTTGTTAATTTATGTGTCATTTGGTCTCTTGTGGAGAGTTGTTTCATTGGCAATCATACAACATCTTCTTATTTTTATATCTGTTGTAAATACTTAACCTGCGTCAACTTTAAAATTTTAGAATGATGTATATATTCATAAAATTATTACCTTTCAATATAACAACAGAATGATATAACAGTTTTATTAATGATTTACAAACTTATAGAAGACCAGCTTCCATGGAAAATAAAAATCATTGTTTTAATAGTATGAGCTACATTGATAACTATGACAAACAATCAGCAAAAGGTATCACATGATTTCAATCCCTTAAATGTGAATTGAAATGTGTGAGTTCTATGGATGAAATTACAAGAAGAACTACTGCAATAATTTGACAATAAATAGCAGTTTATTCATTCAGATGTCAAAAAAATTCAAATTAGATTTTAATCCACTGTATGAAATTTTACTAAAATTTTGATTTTGTAAAACAGTTTAATGTTTACAGATAGAGGTCAGCCATTTAATTACTTTTTACAGTTCAATGGAAATCTAATGTGTAGCATTTTGTGAATAAAGATTTTCTAACAGGCCAAATGTACACTATAAACAGATTTAATGATCATTCTTTAATCAATTGCAAAGTCGTTTAAATTTTTAAAAAAAAATTGATTTTTCAATTTCATTTCTGTGTATATATAACTTATTTAAAAATTTTGAAACATTTTGGGAGTAGAAATGTTCATTTTCTATATGAACAAAGCTTAAACTACAAAAGTGAAATTTGTAACTTTAAGCCTAATATTTCCAGTAAACATGTACAGTTGTTTTTCAAATTATGTTTCTTTTTGTTTTTCTCACCTCCTAAATGGGAAAGTAACATAGATTATACCTTATATATAATATCACAAAAGTATAATAAATGAAGATATTTTCTTTATAAATCATTAAACTCAATAAATGATTAATGACTAATGATTCCATTTAATTCTATAAAATATTTCAAAAAAGCAATTAGAACATGTATATTATTACAATAAATATCTATAAATGCAAACCATTTATGATACAAAATGTATCATGTTTGGCTTTTGTAAATATATGAAGAAAAATTGTTAAATTATAAATTATTGTATTATTCAACAACACTACTATCTACATAACAGAATTAAGTTTAATATAAATTAAAAAATAACTAATTCATTTCTCTAAAAATCAATCCTTTCTGTTGTAAATTTTCACTAATGATTTTCAGGCCATATCAACAAAATTTTCATTTCCTTCGTTTTTAAAATTAGTAACATTCATTTCTTTTAAAATCAATCCATGATTTTGTTAATTTTTACCTTTGATTTTTAGGCCACATCAACAAAATTTCTTTTCCTTTGTTTTAAAAGTTCTTAAGCTTTTTTATACAAGTAAAAACCATTAGGGAAAGGATTCTCCAATTTCTTTCTTTCTTGGATGACTTCAGTAGGTGAGGCATGATTTAGCAATACCTTTTTTAACATCATTTCATAACTTAAGGCAATGTTTGTCACAAAAATCTAAATTATTACTCAATTAATGCCGCCTAGGATCACCAGATTTCCTACAGCAAGTCGTGGTTCTCCCCACAATTCTGCCTCAAATAAAAACTGAGTCATGATAAACGCAAATAGTGCTGAAAGTGGCATTAAACACTAACAATCAATCAATTAGTGCTGCAAATGACATTTCTTTACTATGTCTTTTAAATGTAAAAAGGTGGACTAATGGAAAATTGCATGCATAATATCATAAATTTATTAAATATAAAAAGCTAAAAGAACAATCAATCAATCAATGAACATGAAAATTTTTTCACTATGGCCTAGGAGTTACTGTGAAAGTTTAATTGTTAGCGGGGTACCAAAGATTTTTTAGGGATTCACTCCAACCCTGAAATAAAGCATATTTTCAATTGAGGACAACTGTATTAATCTTATAATTACACCTTATATAAGAAATCCAGATTTTGATTGGTTGATAGCCAGTGTATTTTTCGCATATTCTAATATTTTTTCCTCATTTCAAACGAATTTGCCTGTTTTTCACCACTGCTGGTGAATTTGCCTCAAATACCATGGTATTTGCCATTTTGGATATTCCTTTTTTAACCCTCTTGAGCATTTTCCCGCCAAAATTTTTCGATTATGACGTTACATAAAAAAGAGAGCTAACACGTATTAGTACATGTATAATTCCCGCGTTTCTATGATAATATCCTCTTATCCTCAAAATTATGCATAAACATGTTAATGAATTAGTTTCAATCCAAATCTATTCGGTATAATTAAACAGATATATCATGTTATGGAGGGGTATTTGCGAAAAATACCAGTCTTGGGACCGAATTTCACTCGCCTAGCGTCTCGGGAAATTTTACAGTCCCTTGACTGGTATTTTTCGCAAATACCCCTCCATAACATGATATATCTGTTCAAAAGCACATCTAATGAAGGAAAAGAATATATGACAAACAGCTAGTAATATCTATAATAAAAAAAGAAATATCACTGTAACATAGAAGACAATAAAGCTCTTTAAAAAGTAATTCCAATAGGAATTTCAGAATTTCAACAAGCTTCATTGTTTCTTAACTAATCAATTCAACTTTGAGGTGTTAAAATTTCATGGTTTTATCTCTAAATTCTATGTCATGATGAGGCAAAAAAAAAATAATACATGTGTTTCGGCTAACCCTACCTACCCTAATTTTTAGTGCCTACCCTAACACTTTTTATGCCATTTTGGAACAAGCACTGTTAAAGTCAGACTGATTCCCTAGTAGTAACCAGCTAAAAAATGTTTGTAAAATAAAAAAAAAATGTTTGTAAAATAAAATGATATTGCCTACCTATAGCTACCTACCCTATTTTTTTTCAGCACGTTAGCGGAAACACATGTATTATTTTTTTTGGCCTGATAAATTTTCTTGGTTTCCAGTCATTGAAAGTAATATTCTTTGAATGGTAAAATTTTCTTCAGTGTTTTCATTTTATGGATAATAACTATCCACTTTATAAAAATACTTAAAACAAAACAAATATTTCTGCATTTACAAAAAATAGATATTGCAGTTGAAATAGATAATTGGAAGACTGAACAATTTGACTGATGGTAAAATATTGGAAAACATGAATATTCAATATGTTGTATAGTATTAGGTTTAAAAAGTTGAATAATGAGCTAAAAATTAGTGTAAAAAATATTGAATTTAAAATATATTTTGCATACCATTTGACATATGCCTGATACATAGAAAAGAAAGTGGAGACATGGGATTGCTCACTCTTATTTTGTCTGTTTGTGTTTTATCCAGAAAAGTACAACTGTTTCCCAATCCATGGAAAGTATAACCAACAAAAATAAATAAATAAATAAATCAACAGCAGTCTACTCTCTAACTTAAAGTCAAGCTTCAAAGCCCCTGTCACAAGGCATTCACACTATAAATAATGTACAGATTCCAGAGATTAGGAAATTTACCATCTCTAAATGTATAAATATTTATTCAATTTGTGCCAGTAAATTACAAATTTGTATGGAAAACTTTTTTTCAAAGGAGTAGGTTCAGTAAGACCCCTTTTTGGCCCCAAAATATAGCAGTTTTACAAAATTGTGAAAATGTAATCTTTAAGCTATTTATTGTAAAGAAGAATGCTTCTGCTACATAAATATGGGCTGTTTTTTACAATACAATGCACATATATCGGGTGCTAACATCATCAAGTCATGCTAAATTACTGAAATCTTCAAAATTTAGCATTTTAGTTAAATTTTAGACGGTTTTCGTCTTAAATGAAAGTGGCCGCATTCGTGTTCATTCATAATATTGAAATATGTAAGTTGCATTTGATGATAATACATAATATATATAAAGGTTGAGGATGAACACGGATGCGGCCACTTTCATTTTTGACAAAAACCATCTGAAAAGTGACGTTTTTTGGCATATTTGATAGATTTTTCATATTTAAGCTTGAATCGGCGTGTTTTTTAATGACTAAATCAGTTAAAATCTTTCACATAAACTAATCGAATCAATTGAAATAGACATTTAAGTGTTTAAAAAGTGTCTAAAATCTTTCGTAAGATGAACTTGAAATTTGAGGCCAAAATCGGCCCTTACCGGACCTACTCCTTTGACCAAACCTGGCTTATAATGTAAGGTCTCATTTGGTTGTAAACAATTCACTCCAAAAAAATGTGCACAATAATACGGCATTTTAAAAGATACGAAAGTTGTATACAATTTGCAAGTCCATTATGAGTGTGCTTTACATTCCAATATTATCAGCAACATGATTCATTCTTTTATAGATGTGAGAATACAAAGCCCTGAGATACAATAGCATAAGACAAAGTAGACTAATCATAGTACATCTCCTTTTTTTATATAGCAGTATCTTAGGGCTATTCCATTAAAATGGATGGGGAGGGTAGGAAGAGACTTCCAAAATCATCCCAACAACATATATTCTTTCTTCATGTCATTTTGCATACTGTGGATTCATTATAATTCAAGGAATACACATTTTCGTGGATTATGAGGGTATGGATAACCCACAAATTTAAATGTTCAACGAAGTACACATTGATAATATAAGATTTACTCAATCCACAAAAATTGGTGTCCACTAAAATAAATGAATCCATTGTACATCAATTGGACATACAACCATTTAGGCACAACATCCTAGTAAAATAGCCTTCTTTTCCTATCCTCCCACATTCCTTTAAATAGGACAGCCCTTTAATACTGCTACTAGTGTTTTACCATATGTCCACAATGAGCTGACAAACTGAATTCTTTAATCTGAATTATGCTTTTCACATAGGCTTTTTATGTGGAGCAAAAACACTATTTGTGCAAATCATGTAAATTGCAAAATAGATTCTAATGAAAATTAATTGAGTTTGTACTTCACATTAAAATGGGCAACATGCATTCATATCACTTGAAGGTTATATCAGTGAGTTCTTTCTTCAAATGTCTTGCTCAATGTGGACAGACAGTTATTTACATGTAGATAGTTATGAATCAACTTTTTAACTTTAAAGAAGGGTTGTCTTCTCTTATAAATATTCTGTTAGTCCCTAAAAAATGGTCTAAACTGTCCAAAAATTATTAAAAATGTACTCTTATCAGATACCATTCATAATTGAGATTTAAAATTTGTGAAAAAAAGTTAGGGCATGGTGCCTAAAAACCAAAGCCCTCCATTAAAGTTATAAAGTTGGTCCAAAAATGTGATGAAACTTGATTAATTGCACAATTTTCAATACAATTACATAAATTTAGCATTAGGTCCCGCCTGGTATTGATAATACCAGTATTTCAGTCTCATATAGCCATAGTGTAGATCAGATTTTAATTTGGTACATGCATTGGATCCTACCAGGTTACAATACAGATATAATCCTAAGATAAGCAGCAGTACACAACAGACAACCAGTAAGGCCCACAATACAGTCTTGGCAAACTTCTCCTCTGAAATAGAAAAGTACCATACTAAATAATCAAAGGTTGATAAAATAGCAAAACAAAGAACATATGATCAGACATGGCTTGCAAAAATAATTTAAGCAAGCAACATTTTTTCAAACCTGTTTTTAATCTCTTTAGACTTTGTTACTATAGGCAATGAAGGTAATCAATGAGGAATCAAGTGTAATGAATTTGACATGAAAAAAATGATTACATAGTTCTTTTGATATGGATTCTATGAACTGACCATAACCTGAACATTTTACATTGATATGCATGACATATTTACACTTGTATACAAATTTGTCTGCCATTACTTAAAGCACACAAGTTCATGCAAAATTTTGCATTACAATTTAAAAAATTTGACGTCAAATTAAAGAATGATTGTTGCATGACATTATCCAAAAGTGTAAATACGTCTAGACAGCTACCGTAGAAAGGCTTGTATAGTTCGCAGTGGTACATAGTCCGCACCCCCTTCTCCCCACGAAATTTTAGGTAAAAAAACTTTTTGTAACTGTTAGAAAAGGTCTAATGAAACTCCGGTAATTTCAAATCCTGTGCGGTCGTTTGCGGTATTTTCTTGGAAAACCCTGATTTCCATCATCAAACAGAAGCTGAAACTGCTTGTAAATGATTCTAGAACGCTTCATGATTGTTAAAATAAGTTTAATTCACTTAAAAAACAATTTAGAAACTTGTGTATGTTTAAACAGGAAGTTTAAAAAGCACGTGTAAAAGAAGAAATTAACCGGTGAGAGTCGAAATCCGTACATAACAGATATCACTATAATACGACTTTGAAAGTAAAACAGTTCCATCCTTTTGTAAAACAGTCTTTAATATATCTATCATATTAATGTTTGAAGGGTCTTAAGCTAATACAAACCATATTAGTCAGTATGAAACACCAAAACGGAACGAACAATGACCGATTACGTTTTGTAGTTTACAAATTCTAAGCTGGTTTACGGTTGTCTTTTTCACTATGTTTGTATCGTTTCAATCAAGCAGATACCAGTTTATTTCAACCAATGCATTGAAAAGAAACGAGAAATTTGTAATGAAAGGTTTAGTTTTTATATTTATATATTTGATATTGAATAGAAATAACTTATTAATATGGATGAGTTAAAATTATTAGTTTGAAAAATGATAAGAGCGCCCTCTACAATATAAATAACAAAGATGGCGGAACGTAAACAAACCACCTCGCCCGCGAAATTGAAATTTTTCTCTTATTTCTTGCTTATTGTACTCTATAGTCCGCACCCCGTCTGGAAGGTCCAATTTTGGAGAATAAAACCGCGGACTATACAAGCCTTTCTACGGTATCTGTCTTATTGAGGACTGTTGCTCTGTGAGCTTTCAAATTAATATAAGCTCAATATGTTGGTCTAATAAAAAGCAGGGTATATACCTTAAATTATTTTAATACCATCTTGTCCTCAATATACTTGAAAGATTGTTATAGGATTAAACGCCCTTTTAAAGGAATTTATTGGTGTATAAACTGGTCCAAGTCACTCACAAACATATCATGAAAGTCCAATATTTTTGTGAGTGACTTGGTCCAGTTCATACACCAATAAATTCCTTTAAAAATACGTTTAATCCTTATAATTCTTTTAAATTGGAGATAAGGGATTTAATTTTCCCACTCATAAACTATATCACACGTAAGTTGTATACTTGTGTCATTGAACTGGCCTGGCCCATGAATATATTTTTTGGTTAACGCAAAAAAAAAATGTACTCCATGAAATTTGCTATCTGATAAAAAAAACACTACAAAAATATCTTACTATCATTCAAATGAATGTTTTGTGTTTATTATTTAATTTAACGATGAACACGAAGTGAAAATAAATATTTTTAGTATCGAGCCTGTTTGTGTTATTATCGCAGCCATTTTGATTACATTGGTTACCAAAAGTAGTTCCGTCAACGTCGTCTATCGAAAAAATAAATAACTTCAAGAGCCACTACCTGAAGCACTCTCGACCAATCATATTAACGTATTCCCTAATATGCAAATCATATAAGAATATACTAAAATACACTGTATATTGTTACATCCTACCATCACTTTCAGGTTAAATATTAATCAAAATAATATATGATATAATACAATTCCAACTTTCAACAGTGGATGCATGATTTAAAAAACAAGTTTGTTGAAATCTCCCAACAAAAAAGATATTTTACATAAAATGGATAACAGAAATAGCTAAAATTATTGGTCAGAACAACAGACCACACAAACAAAGAATAACCGACTCCTATTTGTCTATCTAAAAACAATAAAATATGTTAAAACTAAAATCCTGACTCATAAAGAAATAGATTAACAAAGAAAGACAAACAATACAAGGTCAAGATAGCCTGATTCCGTACATCAAGAAATAATGTGGAGTTACATCAGTTTAACAGGCACAACAAACCTATTTGGAAAGTTATTTGCCTATTTGGAAAGTTATGTTGTAAAGGTAAAACATGGGTACATGACATAACATGACATACATACCATGCTGTATTTGTTCATTACTCTGAAGCTGTGATTCATCAAAGTGGACTTTCTTTTCTTTTTCACCTGGAATTTACAATTTCATTGTATGTAAGGAGAGTGGAAATTCATAAACAAAATATCTTTACATTGATGCTTTTGTTCGATTCAATTTTTTAATAAAGTGGAGATAACTCTTATAGTAAAATTTGTATAAAGTAATGTTAACGAAATTTTCAATTTTTACTTGTAGCAAGAAAACACGTTTGATGACACCATTTTTCATTTTTATGTTTAAAAAGCATATTTTAAAACTTTTATTCTCATATTATATTTCAGAATTCTATCTGTCATAGATATCTACTGATTCACCAAAAAAGTGTTTTTTTCATGAGTAATCTATACCAAATTGTGCATGAAGCTTGAAAAATAGCACAGTGACCAATACTTTTTATAACATTTTTTATATTCTATAAATATTTAGTGAAGATCATCCTTAAAGCACTTTTAAGTTGATGTTTCATGTAATTACACGTGGGTTAAGTATATACTAAAATATTGCGAGCAAAACAAAAAGGGGCATCACTGACTAATCAAAAACTTATTGAAAAATTGACCTAAGGAGTTAATAATTAGCTTTCTATTGCCTTACTGTTTATGAAAAAAGCCTCATAAAAGATACCAGGCTTATATTTTTTTGCGCCAGACATGCTTTTTGTCTACAAAAGATTCATCAGTGACAATAGAATAAAAAGTTAAAAAGTCCAAATAAAGTTTGAAGTAGAAGAGCATCAAGGACCCAAAAGTCTGAAAGGTTCAGCTTAGGTTATCTTTTCATGCGGTAGAAAATCTTTAGTTTTATTAACAACAACAAATTTAGATAAACAAGATAAACAAAAATTTGTTGCATGTTAAAATTAAAGTTCATTTGTTTTTACACAGGTTAAGACCATAATTTTCATCATTAATATACTTACTATTTTTACGTTTTCTGAGAATAGATACTGGTTCCTTCTGTTCCCCATCTTCTGCCTGTGGTGATCCCTCAGCATCATCAATATCATCTGGTTTGTCAGCAAACTTCTTTAATGATTCTGTTAAAAGAAAGATAAAAAACCTGTCTTCAGATTAACAATTTCAACATCAAAATTCAACAGTTAAAAAAATAAATAATAATATTAGGTATTAAATAGGTAGCAGGTTAATGCAACTTTTGTACACATGGGATTTTTATAAGGTAGGCGATTTTTTTCTTATCAACTCAGCACTATCAAAAGTAAGAAAAAAAGGCTCATCACATATAGGTAAGATTATTCATAAAAATATGAGTTTTCACCAAAAAAAAAAAATTAAAGTGTTTGCGATATATAACAATAAAAAAAAATCAAACATTTTTCCATGCTATTGATGTTGAAAAAATAATGTATACAATTTGACAAATGCCCAAAAGATGAAAAAGTTTGTATTTGTGTGATGATGTTTAATAAACAGCTGCACCATGAGCGCATGATACGCCTGTCGTCTTGTGTTTGAATTTTTATGCAATAATCATAAATAGTTTCTGACATACGGCCTGACATGCGAAAACCTCCTTTTTTTTACAAAAAACTCAATATCTCTAAAATAAAATTTTGAATCATCACCAAAAAGTATACAGATCTTAAGATTAATATAACTAAGCAGTGTGTAAAGTTTTAAGCAATAATCATAAACTGTTTTTGAGATACGGCGTGACATGTGAAAACCCCCTCCCCCTTTTTTAACAAAATACTCAATATCTCTAATATAAAATTTTGAATCATCACCAAAAAGTATACAGATCTTAAGATTAATATAACTAAGAAGTGTGTAAAGTTTTAAGCAATAATCATAAATTGTTTTTGAGATACGGCGCAACATGTGAAAAAAAACACACACCTGTTTTAGTTATTAAGTCCCGTAACTCAAAAAGTTTTAATCTTATTTTCACCAAAAAGTATACAGATCGTTTGATCATCTTAAGAAACAACTATTTAAGTTTCATGAAATTTGGATAAGTCGTTCTCAAGTTACGGTGCGACATGTTTACGCCGGACAGACAGACGGACAGACGACATTTGTATACCATAATACGTCCCGTCAAAATTTTGACGGGCGTATAAAAACGCTGCAGACCAACTAATGCAATAAAAGTTATTATTCTATATTAAAAAAAAACAGTTGAATGAGTTGTTCTTTTCTGCTTTATTACAGCATATAAAAAAATTAAAAAAATAATGAGGTGATGGGACACACAATGGGGAATATTTATAAATGGTGTCTCTTAATTATACATGCATTTATTACAGTCAGAAAAAGAGATGAGATTAAATTAAGTGTTTTCTGAAATTACTGCACATTAATACTTGTAATGATATGATCTTTTAAAATATAAAAATAATGCAATGATTGTCTTCTTATATTTTTGCATCAATAATATTCTAGATTTAGAATAGTTTCAAGCTATTGGCAAATATAGTTTTGTTTTTAGGGCATGAACTATTAAAACATTTACAGCATAAACCATTTGTGTGTTTACCAGTTCATCTTACAAATGGTCAGTACTTTTTTTTTCAAAAGCTATTCAAAAATTGTGCAGTATTGGAAACAAACTAAAGCTGCTGGGGTAAAACAGTCTAATGCATGTAAATTTACAGTAATTCAACCTAAGGGTTGTACCAGATCTAATGCCTGGGGGACATGGAAGGCACTGTTTAAAGACCAAGACCACCCCAAAAAATAATGATTTTCATTTGACTTCTTATAAAGTTCAAAGGAAAATGCTACCACCCATACTTAATAAATTTGCGTGCCTTCCATCCCCCTTCCTAATAAATTTTATAACAGCCCTTAGTAAATTTTATATAAACATCTTACATTTTTTTACCAACCATTTTATATTCAAATTTTTGGTTTACACAAGTATGGCTTCAGTTGTAAAAAAAACTGAAAAACATTTTCATCAAGTTGCTGTACCTTCGTATTGTTCAGCTCCAACCTTGGCATAGACAGATGCAAAGAAGTCCAGACTTTCTACAGTGACAGGATCTTTGTCACCCAAAACTTGCTGTCGTAACTTTGTAGCCTGAAAATGTAAATGGTGTAACTTATAAATTATAATTTCAAACAAAACTTTGACAACTAAACAAAACATACATTCTAAGTTTTGCAAAAATTATTGAGCTCATAAGATAGTATGAATATATACTAAAACTACCTTTAAGAAATGTACAATAAAAATCATCTGCTCATAATAAGATGGACAATCTTTGCTTTCTACTTGATAAATGTTCCCACTTTTCTCCAAATTCAAGTCAATGGGTTTCCCATTTAAATTTTTCACATTTTATCATGCCAGGGCCTTCTATGGTATTCTATGAAGTTTACTATCAAGTATGGGTTTTGCACATTGTTGAAGGCCATATGGTGACATACATCCTCTTTCTTTGTTCTGCAGTCAATTCTCATTTTATTCATGAGATACTATATTTAGCAGATTTCATAGGTGAAATAGGAACTTTAAAAATTTCTATATCAATGAAATTTGTTCCCACAAATATATATGAATCCACATTTCTTGTCTCATTGGCAATCATACCACATCTTATTTTTGTACTAATATTGTGGGTTTCATTTTACATTTTTGGGGTTCGTGTTGCTTAGTCTTTAGTTTTCTATGTTGTGTCATCTGTACTATTATTTGTCTGTTTGTCTTTTTATTTTTGGCCATGGCGTTGTCAGTTTGTTTTCGATCTATGAGTTGATTGTCCCTCTGGTTACTTTCGTCCCTCTTATACAGAAAATAGAAGAAACACAAACCTTTCCTGCATACTCTAAAGCCAGCTGTGGTCTGAAATATAAGCACAGAAAGTGTTTATCAACCATTAAAGAGATTCTGAAAAGAGTTATCAGAATTTTAAACAGATTAAAGAATAGATATTGCAAGAATATCTTAACGTAAGAGATATTGCAGATTTTTAGGGGAGGCACTTGTTTGTTTTTTATGAATCAGATTTATGTAATATCTTAAATAATAACCTTCCAGCCTTTTTTCTGGAAATAGCCACAAAACAGAAATCTAATCCTCAAGTTTTTTTAGTTTCCTACACACCTCAAAAGGATCTCTTTTTTTTAAAAAGTAATCATTCTTTAAATAAACATGTAATTATCATCACAAATATTGCTATTACATGCATCGCTAAAAGACTGGACAGCCAGGTGATTATAACCAGCAATGACAGCATTGAAATAAATGTACAAATATAAACAAATCAAGGATTATGTTAGGATGGTGGTTCTCTCCAGGTTCTCCTGGTCTCTTCCATCTATCAAAACTGGGAATCATGATATAGCCAAGGTGACTGAAGGTGGTGTTTACCACCAACAAACAAACGAAGGATTCTGCTTTTTAATGTCAATTTTGATATAAAATATTCATCTGTGTTGATATATTATAAATTCAAAAATGCTTCAATTCTTGACACTAAATGCAAGAACAATGTAAAACTAGATTTGTTGGAACTACACTAATGGCCCTGCTTGCAAAAAAAGCTTGTAGCCATTTTTAGGAGTGGAAATTTGAGAATGAAAGTCTGTATAACTTATTTTCACAAAATTTTTGTCCAAAGTCCAAAGCCCATAATTTCAACAAAAATCAGGGGAGCAGAACCAAACGTAACTCAATCTGTAAATCATCATAGGAGACTCACATACTGAAAATCAGCTCAATATGTGAAGACCTTTAGAAAAAAGTCTGTACAACTGTTCGTTGGGGAATGAAGGAATGACGGATAAACGGTAAAAATAGAAAATATTATATGCCTTTTCTATATTAAACTTTGACACCAATATAATCCCAGGAATTTTGCTCAAGGAATTATATTGGTTGTGGGTTGATGCAGTGTAAGACATTTTCAATGTCATATCATATACACTTATTTTATTCCTAAAATAAAATTCACATGACATGACAATATACAGATAAGGGGTTTGATAAAGTCTTTGCAACTGTGACTGGTATCATCATGATCATCATGGATGGCTGATACAGAAAGATTTCCTTTGATTGTATTACACATTAAATTTGTTTGTATTAACCACTATGTATATAAATATAAAGCACTTACTGTTCCCTGTCCAAACAGAGTCTAGCCAAATGTTCATACTCTGATGCTCTTACTGTGTCTGTTGTCATGTTTGGTTGTAAGCTGCCTCCCTTCATCTGTGCTTCCTCTGTAACATTGTACACAAACAATAAAGATTAATATGTTCTCAGTTTATATCATATATTGTGTTCTATAACTCCCTGTATTTAATATAATTTTGTATTATTCTTTGCATTTAATTTTTTTTTTTTGTATGAACATATTGTGTTTTGAAAATTTAACAGCAACCTGATGACACAAAAACATCAAAGGAAATATAGAGGTCACCATACCAGTCTAAGACAATCTTCAAATGTTTACACAATACATGCAATAGACAAACTCTAAATTGCATCAGGTCTAAAAAGTTAATAATTTGATTTTTTTGTTTTTTTTTGTATTGAACATTTTATTATGTCAATATAACAGCAACCAGCTGACAACATAAAAATATCAAAGGACATATGGAGGTCAACATAATAGTCTTCAACAGTAGACAAATGTTTACACAATATGCAAACTTTTAATTGATCAGGTCTAAAAAAAATATTTAAGATTGAATAAAAAAAATTTGATGTGTCAGGCTCCACAAAAAATACATGTATGAAGGATTTGTATGAATTATGTATTGTACTTACCAAGCTTATGTTGTATATCAGTTGTGTCTATCAAAGCACTCTCATAATATACCTTTTCTGCTTGAATGAAATGAACAGCTTTGTCATCTGAATATGTGTTAAGGATTTAGTACTTTGTAAGTTTTCTATTTGGGAAAGCAGAACATTGCACTATTATCATAAACCATAAGATGTTATCATGTTCTAGGGCAGATACACAAAAATCTGAACAAATGAAGAGTAAGAAAAAATAAAAGTTCAATATTCTTTTGAACTTAATTTTTTTTTATCTGTCACTGCAGAACCTGTACCTGTAAACTCTTGATGCACTAATGAAAGAAAGAAAAAACATGACAAGTGCTGTAACCCATAGCAACCACATTTATTTAGAATAGCTTTTATATTGCTATGTGTTGTAATATTGTTCTTTATTGTTCTGTATATACATTAATAACTTTACAATGAGTATGCATTTTTCAATGCGTTATAGCAATTTGATGCACGATTAAAAACTCTTTTGTTCGAAAAAGCTTCAAATTGTGATATCCTTTTAACAGGTCATCTTTAAGTTAGATATCGTTTTTCCTCTCAATATGCTAAAACATTCTGTAAGGCTTGAGGGGCTAGATGGAAAATCCAAGTTGTGTGAATAGTGTAAAGATGCAACAAGCTTTTTTACAGAAAACTTTCTGTGGCCATGACCTTTGATCTCTCTGATTCAGACTATCATAAGGAGCAAACAGTGGCCATGACCTTTGATATCTCTGAATCAGAATATCATTAGGAGCAAACAGTGAACTAAATCAAATGAATACTGTATGTAAAACACAAGTGCTATATATAGTCCCCCAAAACGTGTAAAAAAAATTCTTTGTAAGCTTTACATCATGTCTTTACATTTTATTGATTCATTTATGATCACAATAAGGAAGGATACATTCTTCTTTTTGATAAAATATGTCGGCAATCTGAAATGAGTAAATATTATGTTATCAAAACTATTCTGAAAATGTTATAATAAAAGATTAAAACAGCATAAAATGTTCTCAAGGTTGTTCAATATACTAGAAATTCTATTCACTTTCAGTTTCTTACATGTATGTCTTGTATTTGGACATTGGTAAATAAAGGATGACTCTAATTCATGGTTTTTTTTGGCCGTCATACTATCTCTTTATATTCATGATATTGTTTTACATTTAGTAATTCAAAACTGCAGAGCTCCAGATAAGAATTCCAAAATTGGGGTTTTTACCCACCATTTTTTTATGTAATTGGGTGATAAAGTTTTTAAATTGCATTATCAATTCCAATTCACCCCTCAAGCAAATATCAAATTGGGTTTTTCACCACCAAGCTACTTAATGTATTGGGTTTTTTCATCAACACAATATTGAATGTTTAGGCATGTTATAATCACATTATGTCAACCCCATGCAGATGTTTTTCCATCTTAAATGTGTTTCTTTCTTTGTATATATGCTAGCTGTTTTATTTGGTTTATTCACTGACGAGCAATTGTACGTTTAATTTGTGTCCGATTTTAAACGTTCTGCCAGTTTTGTATTTTCACAACTTATATAAACTGCAGCTGGTGTCACTAGTTGGACAGTTACTAATTACCTTTCTAGATCCCATATGATCACCCTACAGTTTAGTTGGGGTAGGCGTGGCTAAGTGTTTAGATTTTTATGTAATATATGTGAAATTTAGGTGCTGTAAGAAAGTTTTGCCAGTCCTTTCACCTATTTGTTGGATCTACTTTATAATAAAAATAATAAGTAGTTCCCAGATTTAAGATATACCCCAAAACCTTGACAAGGTTTATAGGTTTAATGACGGAGACCACATTCAACTTAAATTTACAGAGTTAAATTTACAAATAATTCTGCAACATCAAATAAATGAATGACAATGTTAAACTGCACTTGCCAATAAGACAACTATCATAAGCATACAGAACAATAAGACCAAAACAAAGAAAGTGTCAAGATGCATTGACGTAAAAAACGGATATGTGTATTCACTCATCAACTAAAATGAAAAAAATAATATATAAACTAAAATTATACTTGAATGTTTTTGTTTAATTTAATTTACATAAATCTGGGTTAAGTTGTCCCAGCTGATTAGAACTTTTGGTTTCTGATGCTTTCCAACTACATATATCATGTCATAATTAATTTGGCCTTTCACTTTTTCCAACTGATTTCGTTCTTGACAAAACCCTGTGTTTATCGTTCTAGCAATGTTCTCGTTAAGGTACGCAAATGGGTCTTGTTATCATCATAATAACTTTCCCTAAAGTATCAAAAAGAAGCTGAAAACATGCTTCTATTCAATATTTTTATCAGATATTTACTTTCGTTTTAATTCATTGTATGTTATGATAAATCCCGAGCAATTCGAAAAAAATATGACAACAAGACAAACGCTAATTGGATAAACGCCGAGAAGATTGAAATGTTTTCATAAACACGTGTACCTTTTGAGCAACGGAAAATTCCAACAGGGACCCATTTCGGCTACTTGATGCAGGGCTCTATTTTTAGAAAGAAAGGACATTTCCAATTATAAATATTATAAAAATAGATTTACGTGACGACTGTAATCAGATAAGGGTAAATAACGCAAACGATAGCGAATAAAAGCGTTAAGAACTCATGGTTTTGGCATATAATTGGGTTTTCCTTTGAATGAATTGGGTTTTTGAACCCTGCAATGGGCAATTGCATTGGGTTTTTAATTATTTGTATTGCGTGATCACGCAAATACGCAGCTTATCTAGATCTGGAGCTCTGAAACTGCATTGTTTTATTATAGGTAATTAACAAAGTTAAGATTTTTCCAGTCTTGCCATATTTTTTTACAATAAATTGTGCAATCTCAGTACACAGTTTTGTCATAATCATTTATCATTGGAAAACACTCAATCATGAAGGTGCGAATTATCTTTTAATACAAAAAAGCTTCCAAGTTCTAAATGGTTGGTTCTGGTTTACCATAAGGCCATATTCTAAGTACGCCCTGTACTTTTCATGTGGAAAGTGCTTTGAATATATACAGGTTTATATTTTGTGTTCTGTTATCGATTTTAATAACAGATGCAAAAACAAAATTGCCTTTTTTTTCAAATATTGAACAATTGTGTTTTTCGAAGTCATCATTATGTTGAGGTTAGCATTTGGATTTCTTTGTTCTCAAGGAATCATGATTTTGCAAAGGATGTGTACTTTTACATAAACAAGTAAATGATGTCATAAATTTGTATATATTTCAAAACAAAAGGAACCAATTAAAAGTCCTGTACATATTTCAATTTAGTAATACTGAAAAAATGTACTACTTACATTTCTGAGACATTGTGGAAGTAATGGAAACCTTGTATCTTGCTTCAAACCAGTTAAACATGCCAAGTAACATTTCAGTGCTCTATTTTTCTTTCCACTTTTTTCAAAATTCAGTCCTTTCTCAAACATTTTATTTCTTGAGTCACTGTCCATATCGGCACCATCTCCAAGACCTATTCCTTCATCTAAAAATAGAAAAATGTATATAGTTGCTTCAAGACGTTTGAAAATCTTATTATCATATTCTTTCTTATTTCAAAACATTATTTCTGCTAACATATATAGTGGAGTCAGATCTGGTTTTCCTTCCGAAACACCTGAGATCTCCTCCAGTTTTTTGTGGGGTATGTGTTGCTAAGTTCTTATTTTCCTGTGTAGTTTTTTGTAGACTTTTGTTTGTCTTTTGATGCTTTCATTTTTGGCCATGGTATATATACATGTTAAAGAAGATGTGGTATAATTGCCAAGAAGACAACTCTCCACAAGAGACCAAATGACACAGAAATTAACAACTATATATAGGTCACCGTATAAGGCATATATAGTCTATTCTTAGAGTTACCATTTTTGGTATCTTTTGTCTATTGTGAATTATTTTTTCAACTAATTTAAGTATGTAGATTATCTGCTTTGACTTTTTTTATCATATTTTTTTTTTGTCCTTTTTTTTTCATTCATCTATATATTGATTATATGCTGTAAGTGTGGGGAGGAAGGTCGTTGGGGAGGAAGGTCGTTTTTTTTTGGTAATGTTATGAATTGCGTCTTTGTAAAAATTTGAGTTACATGTACATGGTACACCTGAAGTATCTCAGTCAGAATGTTTACTTTTCAAATATACCAGTATGCATGTCGTTGTATTTCTTTTCAGGTTTATTGCATATGTTTTTTTCTGAAATATTATTACATTGTTTGCAATGAATTACCGTGATTTCCCACTCCTCTGACGTCATACAACAATAGGTGTTATCAAGACGTCGATAACGTTACATCAAAACAAATTGTGAATGCGTAGAAAGAGATATAGTCCCTTGCATTTTCTATTCTATTTCCATTAAAAAGCCCATTGTCAATGTAATAAAAAGAATAACAAAATTAAAAAGAATCAACAGCTCGATAATTATAGAATAATTAATCAAAGAATTTAAATATCGAAAAATATTCAACTCGTGACCTAACAACACTGATGATAAACTGATGCGCTACGCGCATTTGTGAATTAATGTGTTGTTCGGTCACTTGTTGAATATTTTTCTATATTTTAGCTTTTAGACCTATATATATATATATTTATATTATATGATTTTTCCCTTTGATTTTCTATTTTGTAGGCTGTTGTGTACTACGCATGCGCAGTGGTGTTGCTGTATTATGATGACATCGGGACTCTAATTATTTCATTTTGTTTGATAAAATAATCAAATAAGCTGCACATGCTGGCAAGCTATTCCTATGAAACAAGTGTTTGTTTTTATTTTACAAATACTTTATATTGGTTTGAGGTAACGAACTTGAATGCAAGGTTTGTTGTAAAAATGAATTTCACCAAAAAAAAATTTTAGTCTTCCGATCGTAAAACTCACCATCTTCATCAGATTCTTCGGCATGATCTGGTGTATTATTTGGCACATTCTCTTCTCTGGTAGTATCCTTGCTTGTATTAGGTACTGTTGTGTCTTTTGATTGCTGTTCAGAGCTCGAGGTATCACTTTTATCACTGTTCACTTCCTGTTCAGAGGTTCCACTTTTATCACATTCTGACTTATCACTTTCCTTGGAACCTTTATCTGAACTTTTAGAAGACTGCTGCGATTTTTCTACATCAGGTCTATCCTGATTTACTGATTCAACCTTTTCTGATTCTTTTTGGGGAGAACTATTTGCCTGATGCGTACCTGTATCATTTGTATTACTTTCTGACGATTCAGGCTTTTCTGAACTGCTGTTTGTTTCAGCAGTGCTCACCTGACTTCCTGGTTTATTCTCCGTTTCTCCATTATCAGCCATCCTTTTGCTACTGGTCTGTCAGCTAAGAATAGACATCTGTATAATCCTAAAATATAAATTAACCAATAATAAATTCCCTGTTCCTTTGCTTTAGATTTTAATTCATGTTTGTGTACATCCCACAAGATTAAAAGTAAATTTGCACATGTTACATGTTTATATAAACATGTATGTATATAGGTTTGAACATTGTTTTCAATTTAAACTTATTTATATTTTTTCGTTTGGGCTTGTATTATATTTGCCTTCAGGTTTATATGATCCGTTCATCCTATTTCGACTCTTCAAGATTCAAGAGTCTATTCTCAATTGAGGTAAATTATATGGCCTTCCAAATACCGTTTCGATTCCTAACATCACTGAAGAGACATTTATTGTTGAAATCCGGATATGGTGTACAAATTTTTGCACCTCATGTTTGCGGTATACCATCTTTTCCGCAAGTTTATTGTTTTTTGTTTGGTATTAAATTAATAATAAAGATCCATTTTCTTAAATCTTGTGATCCGTTCATTTGGCAATCGCCAATGGCAGTCAGCAGGGTTTAAGAACATTCGTTGTTTGACCTGTTAGTCAAATGCGTTTTGTTTAAATATACTTTTTCACTTTTTTGGTCTTTCGGAAAATGTTGTTTGTGCTGTATTTAGACCCCTCTACCAAGAAATTTGTTCTGCATGCACACATATTAAATTGCGGTTTTTATCCAAAGCAATCATAGGTTTGAACATTGTTTTCAATTTAGACTTATATAATATATATATACATGTATACAGTATATTGCCATTAAAAGAACTCAGTTACACTACAGTTCATGAATATATTCATTTTCACTAACCCAAAACTGCTAAAAAAGCTACATATGCCTCCCCTTAGGAGTGGACATGCAATTTGTTTTTCTTATGAATTGTACATCCAAAATTTGGAAAGGTGAGAATTAATTTTACCAAGAAATTGAGAATCGTTGTTCGATTTATAATATACCACAGCCATACAAAATGTATCCACAAACATAATTCAAGAAATCTGAAACCAAAGAAAGTTAAGTACAGCTTTGTAAATAGACAACTGGTATCTAATCTAATGTACATGTAAACAAGATTTACTCAAGCATCAATTGGGCATGGGCATACTTCTGCCCACGGTGGGCAAGTGGGAAAAGCAAAATCCACGTGGCCTGTTGTGTACATATTTAATAAACATACTATGTTATGATATAAAATGTATTCAACTTGATTAAGTTTAAAAAAATAATAGAATTTAATCAATTATGTTAATGTTTAAAATTCATGTGGATTTTATTTAGTCTGAACCCTTTTAGATTTTGCACATGAATATTCCATACTTTTTCAGTTCATATCTTAAATAAATGTCAAATTAAAAAAAATACATTTTGGACTTTGTGATAAAAGTTAAGTGCTGACCTTTGAAAAGGAAAAAAAGGTTGTGAAAATGTTATGAACAACTTCCTGTACTTGAAGTAGTAATCAATTTTATCATTATACATATATGCATTGTCATAATCATTTAACAAGTACAGTTTATAAAAATAACCTTTTCACAATGGAATCGTTTTGATAATTAAGTTTATTTTTAAATTATAATGAGGATATAATAATCATTTGATAGTGACGACTGTGAGCATGATAAGTGACCACTTGATTTTAAATTGAAGCTATGTCATGTGAGTACTATAAAGTAAATATTTGTAAACCTAAATAAATGGGAAAGGATGCAATTCATTATCAGCACAAACGATTCTTAAGATTTGGCAATTCAGAAAATCTTTTAATACATTTTTTTTACAAGCATTTGCTAGCCATGAGCAGCATTTATTAAATGCTGCAACATTGAGTGAGAGAAACAAAACCTAGTTTTTCAAGATTTAATTTTATCTGTACATGAAAGTGGAATATCAGTGTATTTTGTTATTCAAAGGGAAATTAAAATACAAATGTACAAGTATAATTTTTTATTATATTAATATTGGTTGCAATGAAATACTGTGATCTCCCAGTAAAAAAAAACCTGATAATTTCAATCCTTTTGACGTCATACATCAGGTGTTGTCAAGACATTGTTGATGATGTTGCTTCAAAACGAATTGGGTATGTAGAAAAAGATATAGTTTCTAGTATTTTCTACTTTATTCCTATTAAAAAGCCCTAGGTCAATTTAAATAAAAAGATAACTAATCGTAGAATTCAAGTGTAAAAAAATATTCAACTCATAATGGACAACACTGATATAAATTATCTCATGTGCTAAGAACATTCTTGAATTAATGTGTTGTTCGGTCTCTGGTTGTGTATCCATCTTTTTTGTATTTAAAATTCTTTGATTAGTTATTCTATAATTACACTTTGGACTGGAAGTAAATTCAAAAGATTAAAATGGTCAACTTTTTTTTTCATTTTACTGTTAAAAATAAAGCCAAATAACATGAATAAACAGTTGATATGTAATAATAAACTGTTGATACAGAGAAATGTTTTGCCTATCGGCAGAAAATTCAGAAAAAGTCAATCAGATGGACATCACATTGCTATTTAATTCATAGTTGCTGGACCATGAGATAGACGGTAGCGGGTTAAAATGATAGTCAAACTAGAAGTACTGATAGCAATGCAACCTCATAGAAATATCATTGTCTGCTAAAAGTATAGTTCCTATCAAAGTAACTTAAGCAGAAAACTTAACATTGAAAATTGGTAATTAAATGAAAGTCACTGGACCATGACCTACAGGGCAGGGCCTCAAAATAGTTGTCAAACTGATATGTAACTGATAGTAATGCAACTTTATAGAAAATATCATTGATCTATCACAAGTAGTTCCTCTCAAACTAACTTAAACATTAAACTTAACATTGAAATTTAAAATTGAGAATGGAAATGGGGAATATGTCAAAGAGACAACAACCTGACCAAAGAGCAGACAACAGCCGAAGGCCACCAATGGGTCTTCAACGCAGCGAGAAAATCCCGCACCCGGAGGTGGTCCTCAGCTGGCCCCTAAATAAAGTTGTGTACTAGTTCAGTGAAAATGGACATCACACTAAACTCCAAAACATATAAATGAACTCAAATTAAAAAACATACAGAGGCTCCTGACTTGGGACAGGCGCAAAAATGCGGTGGGGCTTATTAATTGAAAGTCACTGGACCATGACCTAGGGAGAAGGGCCTCGAAATAGTTGCCAAACTGATATGTTCTGATAGTAACGCAACTTTATAGAAAATATCATTTATCTATCACAAGGAGTTCCTATCAAACTAACTTAAACAGAAAACTTAACATTGAAAATTGCTTATTAATTGAAAGTCACTCGACCATGACCTAAAGGATAGTTCCTATCAAACTGACTTAAGCAGAAAACTTCCACTTGTTGCTGCTGCCAGAGGAAAAGCAACACCTATGTCTCGCCTTCCGTGACTTTCATCGCAGGCAAGACAAAAATATATAAAAAGGAGTGATCTTTTATACATCAGGAGTGTGATTAAAATTTGAATGGATTATTGGTATTGTTTGGATTTCATGCAAGTGTGGAAGATTTCAGAATTTCAAGGGCTTTAAACATCTTGAAATCCTTTACTGCTTATAAACATGTACTTCTTTTCATAATCATGACAATCAAAATGAGCATTAGAAGACAGGAAATGAAATTTAATTTTAAATGGAAAACTATAATTGTTGAATATTGCAGTTAACATACAACTCCTAAATCAATAATACTAACATGACTAAATTGTCTATCATTTTGCAGATAAGACTTATTTGATTTAAGATAAATCTATCAAAAATACAAGAAAAAATTACCCGACAACTAAAGGACATGTTCCTCTATTTACATTATGAATTCATATAAATCAACTTACAGCATGAATAACATTGGAACTTTATCTATATTGCAGATAACGTTTTTTAAGATGTGCAAAAAATTTATAATCTTTGGTAAACAGGACTATATTAATTTTGTTAAAGATTCAAGCAAGAAGCCAATGATATCATGATGAAGAAGTCCTCAATAACCTGACAACAGTAAGAAATTCAATATTCTTCTTTTACTAGGGAATTCAAAATCATTAAGGTTTATCTTTACCTTTAGGCTAAAATGACTGTGTTTACACAACAAAATCTACATTGGGTGCAGACAAACATGTGCATCTGGAAAAACGTTTAAGATATATATGTCAAGACCTAGATATACATGTATAAAATTCAAATGCATTTTACGTTTGAGAAAATAAAAAATTCGTAAGGGTTCCGCGGAACCCAGTGTCTCGCCTACTTTTGGTGTTAATCGCAGGCTCAACAAAATTGAGGAAAAAAATTAATAAAAATATTCCTCTCTATACTATCTTTTGATTGTAAGTAGCTTCTGTCCAAGTTTGGTAAAAATCCAGGATAATTTATGAATCTAATAAATGTTTTAAAAACTTAAACTGCAGAATGTATGTAATGTTGACTGGAAGAAAAACTAAGTCCATTTATAAGTAAAATATGGAAAAAATGGAACAAAATTTTATCAAAATTTCCTTCTAGATACTAGCTTTTGATCATAAACAAGCTTCTGTCCAAGTGTGGTACAAATCCAGGATAGTTTAAGAAAGTTGTTAAAATTTTAAAAACTTTAACCACAGAGTGAATGTAATGTTAACTGGCAGAAAAACTAAGTCCATTTATAAGTAAAATACGGAAAAAATGGGAATTTTTTTTTACAAAATTTACTTCTGGATACTATCTTATGATCATAAACAACCTTCTTTCCAAGTTTGGTAGAAATCCAGGATAGTTTAAGAAAGTTATTAAAATTTCAAAAACTTTAACCACAGAGTGAATGTAATGTTTCCTGGCAGAAAAACTAATTCCACTTATAAGTAAAATACGGAAAAAATGGAATTTTTTTTTTACAAAATTTACTTTTGAATATAATCTTATGATCATAATCAAGCTTCTGTCCAAGTTTGGTAGAAATCCAGGATAGTTTAAGAAAGTTATTAAAATTTCAAAAACTTTAACCACAGAGTGAATGTAATGTTTCCTGGCAGAAAAACTAAGTCCACTTATAAGTAAAATACGGAAAAAATGGATTTTTTTTTTACAAAATTTACTTTTGAATATAATCTTATGATCATAATCAAGCTTCTGTCCAAGTTTGGTAGAAATCCAGGATAGTTTAAGAAAGTTATTAAAATTTCAAAAACTTTAACCACAGAGTGAATGTAATGTTTCCTGGCAGAAAAACTAAGTCCACTTATAAGTAAAATATGGAAAAAATGGAATTTTTTTTTTACAAAATTTACTTTTGAATATAATCTTATGATCATAAACAAGCTTCTGTACAAGTTTGGTAGAAATCCAGGATAGTTTAAGAAAGTTATTAAAATTTCAAAAACTTTAACCACAGAGTGAATATTTGTGGACGCCGCCGACGCCGACGGAATGTAGGATCGCTATGTCTCGCTTTTTCGACAAAAGTCGAAGGCTCGACAAAAAGTTAACTTGATTTTGCTGCACACGTTTTTTGTTCCTGCTGAAGAGGTACAGTGTAAAATAAAATTCATTTGGTATGGCCCACTGAGTTACATAGTTTAAATCACCTACATGTAGTGTTGTGCAGATTATCTAGTGTCCATGTCAATCATTCAATACAGTTCACTTCAATTATTACATACAGGGAAGTTCTCAAACATCTTAACCAAATTTGTTCATTTATGGCACCTGTTGCAGGAATGAAAAAAAAGTGCACAGAAAAATCCAGTTAGGTTTTTATATTCTGAAACATAAAATACATTTGAACTTTATTTATCTAGGTCTTTTTTTTAGATGCACAGGTTAAATAATACTCAGAGGAAATATTAGATATTTTAGATTAAACCTTAACTTTTCTTTTACAACATTTACACATGAACATGTTCCTGTATTGTTTTGAATCACAGTTAATGGCCAAAGAAGGTAAAGACCCATATAAATTCCATTTAATCTATAAATTCAACAACACTTGCCATTATCTTGATATTTTTTGGTTAAATAATCAAGAATTCTCTAAAAATGCTGCGGAAATTCAACTTTAAATAAAAAATATAAAAACAGTAATAACTGTCCTTTCCTTGATTTAGACTGTACTTAAAGTTTTACACAGGAAACTCTACACAAAATATATCGACAAAAAGGTAAAATTTTTCATTCCCTATTGTTAAATTTTTCTCTTTTGGACAGTGATGTTCCTTTGGCCGAATCTAACAGTGTTTATATATCCCAACTAGTTTGCTATATCCCTGTCAGTCTATAGTGATGTTATAGATTTCAATAAACATAATCTACATTTAATTGTATATACAATGTATATATTACATTAATTAAAAGTCGAGGATTTTGTAACCACAAATTACTTAAAACCTTTACTAAATTCTTTCATACATGTAGATACATTAAAAGTGAAAGATTTGGTTTGGAAGTTTGGCTGTACTTGCATGAATTGTAGAAAATTTATATTACAAAAGGGATAGACTAAGCACACCTTTTTTTATGATTATGATGGTGATATTGTTTATGAACCCTATAATTTAGATATGATCGGGGTAAACTTATTGATCCTTTAAATAGACTTATCTTAAAAGGTTCCCAATTTAACACTGTAATCTTGGAATACATTTTGTATTGTTTTATCGATATAAATATTGATTTTGTTATTAATAAATAAACACCCCACAAAATACATTAAATATCATTGCTATACACCTACATGAATGAAATTTTTGTCCTACATTCTGTCTATACCTATATTTTTGCATTGCACAAGATCATGTTTTTCTCTTACTGTTAATGACTTCTTTACACTAAATCCATTGGATGTATACTGATTGATATTAAGTCTAAGTTACAAGATTTTTTTATCACTTGTTATTGCCTTTGAACAAGCTTTTAATATCTGAGTATTCTTAGATCTGTACTTTGTGTCTTTACTCTTTGCATGGTGTTTTATGAGTTGTTTTTGTGCTTTGTATTGATCTGATGAGTTAAATTTTCTCATTGTTGAAGGTTGTGGAGTTGCCTATAATTGCTTACATCCACTAAGTGACTTCATTTGAACTTTGGTGGATAGGTGTCTCATTGGCAATCATACCACATCTCCTTATTTTTATAAGCCCTTTTCAACTGATAATTTGTTCTTAATATGTTGTTCTGTAGCACCAATGTCCTAGGTAAGGGGAGGGTTGTGCCTTACCCCAGTCAATAGCCTGTAGTTGAGTGATTGTCAATTGTTGATGTTGGTCATCTTTGATTTTTGTTTTGTATAGTTTAATATTGTGTTGTTCTATTCACCACATGCACTGTCTCAGCTGTTTGGGGAGGGTTAGGGGCCTGCAAACATACATGTATTCAACCTAGCCACATTCTGTATGTGCCTGTCCCAAGTGAGGAGCCTGTTATTCAGTGGTTGTTGTTTGTTGCTATTTATCATATTTGTTTTTCGTTTATTGTTTTGTCAATAAATCAGGTCTTTAGTTCTACATGTATTATGAATTGTTTTACATTTGACATTTCAGGCCTTTTATTGCTTGTAATGTGATAAGGGTTTTGGTTTTGCTCATTGTTGAAGGCAGTATGCTGACCTGTTGTTGCTTTATTTTTTTAATATAAAGTTTGGGATTTTCAAATATTTTGGCTTTGAGCATCACTCAGCATGAACATGCTGGAGATATTTATTTTTTTTCCTTTATTGTTTAGTACAGAAATATTGTTTGAGATGTTTTACATTGGTCATGTCGAGGCCTTTTATAGCTTGCTAGGCGGTTTTGGGTTTGCCAATTGTTAAAGGCCAATACTGTCAATGGCGGTCCCTATCCTATGTAAAATCATACACATGTAGGAAAGGGACGGCCATTGACAGTACAACCTAATCTAATTTACTATTCAAGTGAGTAAGATGAGGTTTTTCGGTCAATGCAGCCCCTTTCTATATGATTTCTAAAAATAAATTAAATAGGAAAGCGACAGCCATTATTCGCCATTTCAGAATCTAATGCATTCTGGGTAATAATTTCAACAGAGTACACCAGAACTTCGTAATTGGTTAAAAATGTCCTAAACAAGGGTGTGACGTTATTTTCATTTCGAGGTATGAACAATAAAATTACCCATAGTGCTTTATTTCAGAAACAGCCTATACACCTTATCATTATTTGGAAATCTGCGCCGGTTAACCCGAGAATCTGCGCCTCTTGAACTATTAAATCAATAAAAGTCGTCATACAACAATCACATTTCCATTGTGGCATCAGATATTTTCTATTGTGACATCAAAATTTTACGGGAACCTTTGTGATGTCCAGTAATGGTGGACAAATAGCGATAAGGTGTATTGATAGTAAAACCTCATCTGACGTACTAAACGAGCCCGTCATTATCATGATTATATCCAGCTATGCTTAAAATATTTACTTTTAAATTTCTGAAATTACAGGCTGTGTTTCACCATATTCTAAAATAATTCATGTTATATTGCGGCCATAAAGGGTTGAGCACAAACGACTAAATATCCTAGAGTGGAAAATTCCACAACAGTTTATAGGACATCCGACAAATTGGGAACTATATCCATTATAAATGAGTAACATCATTATGGTTCGCTTTTAACTGACCTTTTTATGTAAATTTGCTAAGGAGGCGTCAACTTTACAAGATCGTGTATTCAAGAGCAAACTTGCAAGACGTTTTGAGTGGTTTTGCTGTCAAATGCCTGACAATATTTGTAAACTTCCGGTTTAGATCTGGGTGTGTTGGAATGCTACACGCCTCTATTGTGATTTGTAAAAAAAAAACGTAAATGCATAATTCTGCCTATAACATTTCATAGATTTTTTTAAAATATGATAACAATTTATAATCAATTCAGATTGAACTGTCAACATCGAATTAACAAAAAATATTTTATAAATATTTGAGTGTAAATTCGAGCTGGCCGAGTTTGTCAAAAGCACATGATTTGAAAGAACTGTCAATAATTTGAGAGCAGACGTCCATGGTAAGGTCGTTTATACTTTAAACCTTGACAAACATTGTTTGTTAAGTTTATCAACAAAGAACATTAAAAACCTACAATAGATATATACATATTTCCAAGACTGTCATAGATTGCAGCGTCTGTTTTAGTGTTTAGCACCTTCTCAGCAGCAAAAGGGGGTGTCTCAAAATAGGATTTTGTTTATCGATTATATTTGAAAATCGATTGATTATTGAAATTTTCGTAATATTCTGTAATTGTGATTGTTTTTTTTTTATGTCACATTCACATTGAAAATAGCTTGTACATGGCTTTATGGTCGTTTTGCTATCATAGACCTTATTGCTATTTGGGAATATACGACACTTGACTCCTAGAATCTGTGAAACTTGGACTATTGACGTCGTACAACAATCACTTTTCCTTTGTGGCACCAAACATTTTCTTATTAGTATTGTGACGTCAAAATTTTTGCAGGAACCTTTCTGATGTCCAGTAATGGCAGACAAATAACAATAAGATATATTCTGACGATGTCCTTGCAGGGCTGGCGGCCAGGCCCATGCTGCAGGGAACATCATGACATCAGACTAAGTTTAAAATTCTGTTTAATAAAAATTTAAGTCAAATGGTGGCATGACCAACTTTCATTACACCATTTATCGAACTTTTCTAGCGGTCACTGGTATAATATATATACACTTAAAGAGTAATCTTCAAATGTAAGCCTTCTGAGTGGCTGACTTTCAATTTGGGTATGAATGTTTTTCCCAAGAAAATGGTAATTGCTCAGGGTAACTGCGTTGTTTTCAAAAGGTCAATTGGGACCTGTACAACAAAAAAAAAGCAGTTTTATTTTCTGCATAAAACGGTCCAAAAAATTTTTGCACCTTGTTCTGATCAGTGAATGGTGCCTATACTTAAATGCTAGTCTAGCTACACCCCTGAAGTCTGATGTCATGATATTCCCTGCAGCACAGGCCTTCTTTGTTCCTTGGAGGCTTGGGCTTGTAAATGGCTATAGGCCAGTATTTTGAAGATAACAGACAAATGAGATTTTCATTGTCCATTAAATTATACTTTTATGAATAGTAAAGACAACTATTGATAACAGACAATTAAACACTATATATATATTAGAGAAATTTAGTGACAGGAAATTCATGACTAGACTGTCATGACTGTTGTCCTAGTACTGGTTTTTGTCGAGCCTGCGACTTTTGTCGCAGAAAGCTCGACATAGGGATAGTGATCCGGCGGGGGCGGCAGAGGCAGCGGCGTTAACTAACTTCTTAAAAGCTTAATATTTTAGAAGCTAGAAGACCTGGATGCTTCATACTTTGTATATAGATGCCTTATGTTACGAAGTTTCCGTCTGTCATATGTCCATTGTCCTTGACCTCATTTTCATGGTTCAGTGACTACTTGAAAAAAAAGTCAACATTTTTTGTAATGTTAATTTCTTTCTTGTTATGAGTAATAAGATAACTATATTTAGTATGTGCGTACCTTGCAAGGTCCTCATGCCCGTCAGACAATTTTCATTTGACCTCGACCTCATTTCATGCATCAGTGGTCAATAGATATAAGAACATGAAGAAGATGTGGTACGAGTGCCAATGAGACAACTCTCCATCCAAGTCAAAATTTATAAAAGTAAACAATTATGGGTCAAAGTACGGTCGTCAACATGGAGCCTTAGCTCACACCGAACAGCAAGCTCTAAAGGGCCCCAAAAATTACTAGTGTAAAACCATTCAAACGGGAAAACCAACGGTCTAATCTATATAAAAAACGAGAAACGAGAAACACTTATGAACCACATCAACAAACGACAACTACTGAACATCAGATTCCTGACTTAGGACAGTGTAGCTGGTTTAAACGTTTTAATGGTACCAAACCTTCACCCTTTTTCTGAAACAATAGTGTAACATCACAACATAGAAGTCCATATATCAGATACTATAAGCAGTAGGTCTACTATATTTGGTATATGGAATGATTGTAAGGTGTACATGTCCAACTGGTAGGTGTCATCTGAACTTGACCTCATTTTCATGATTCAGTGGTCAAAGTTAAGTTTTTGAGTTTTGGTCTTTTTTTCTTATACTATAGGCAATAGGTCAACTATATTTGGTGTATGGAAATATTTTATGATGTACATGTCAGTCTCGCAGGTTTTATTTGACCTTGACCTCATTTTCACGGTTCATTTCTCAGTGTTAAGTTTTGTTGTTTTGGTCTGTTTTTCTTCAACTTTAAGCAATAGATCAACTATATTTGTTGTATGGAAGAATTGTAAGGTGTATATGCAGTGATTTTGCTAGCGCTCGTCACTTTCGTAATTTACGAAATTGTTTTCAAAATGACGAAAGTATTTCAAATCAATTTCGTCACTTAAATTTGGAAAGTGTAAAAATATTTTCGCATGAAAATACTATTATTCTACCTGTCTTCATGTTTCTGACAAGTTTATGACCCTCAGCTAACTAACATTTACAGGTGTTATAAAATTGTGATTACAGCTAATCCGCTTATCGTCATAGGATGGGTCACTAATCCGGTTAATTATTTCCCCAGTAAAATTAGTCAGTCTGCATTTTAATTTCAATATTTCTCAAGGCCGACGACCACAATTTGCAGTGGGTTTGTCATAGTTTTGTCATTTGAACAAAATTGTTTCCCCCCCCCCCCCCCCCCCCCCCGGACAGTTCGCTTTTTAATTTCAATGAATATTTCTTAAACGATCATAATTTGCAGTTAGTCTGTTGTAGTTTCGTCAAATAATCGTATTTTCGTCATCTTTGATATAAAACGTTCAATTTCGATTAAAAAGATAGAACTTTATTCAAAACGTTCAAAAATGTTTTCACGTTAAAAACTTCCATCATCATCAACGAGTCAAACAGGTGCTTCCTTTACGATATACTGTGCATGCGTGAAAGTATTCATATGAATTTAAAGACACTAAAACGTAAAATACGAAATAAATTTAGTGCCAAAATAAATGAGAGAGACAAATATAGTTCTTACTAAGCAAATTGAAATATAAAAATGATAATTTCCTGCCTTTTTTTAAACACGAACCAATCAGTAGATGAATCCGGATTCATTCTGAATTTATTATCTACTTATCTAATTGAAATCGAAAGTAAACGTGATCAATTCTAGATTAATTTACAATTTACAGTTATTGGAATCGTTCCATGTTAATTTGTACAAATCCTTGGTTCCAACTTTATAGAAATTAATTCAAAATATCGATTTAAACGTTTTATAAGGATAATGATTATGCAGTGTAATAGTCTTACAAAGTTCAACAAGTTCATTTATACTGTGATTCTTGGTTTTAAAAAAAGGAACCCAACTTTTGTTGATCAGGAATGTCCCCTGAAACTAATTGAAGTAAAATTTTGAACTAGATTTTCAGATCTTATATCCTAATCTTCATATTTAAGTGACACATCAGTCAAATCATGCAATTACTGCCTAAGTCCTGCAAAGTCTAACAAAGATGTATAGCTAGTAATATACATACATCCTTGGTTCCTTGCTGTTACCCAAAATAATGTTGATTTTCATCTCGCGCAAAAGTGACTAAAGCCCTCAAAATCCTAGCTTAATTAACCTTGTGTATATGTCTGTCTGGCAGGTATCATCTGACCTTGACCTCATTTTCATTGTTCGTTGGTCAATGTTAAGTTTTCATGGTTAAGTTTGTTTCTTAGATACTATAAGCAATAGGTCAACCATATTTAATGCATACATTGATTGTAAGGTGTACATGTCTGTCTGGCATGGTTCATCTGACCTTGACCTCATTTTCATGGTTCATTGAATTGGTCAATGTTAAGTTTTGTTGGTTAAAGCTGTTTCTTAGAAACTATAAGCAATAGGTCAACTATGTTTGGTTTATTGGTTTATTGAATGATTGTAAGGTGTACATGTATTTCTCGTTTGGTTTATCTGACCTTGACCTCATTTTCTTGGATCATGTTAAGTTTATGTTTTACTTGTAGTAAAGCTTTATATTTAGGACTATCAACATAAAATCAATGGTTAGTAAAGAAGGCAAGACATTTCAGCGTGTGCACTCTTGTTATTATAATAAGTGGCAAATTTAGAAAATGTTAGTATTGTCGCTTATGGAGGAAAAAATACTACCTCTTTCCAAATAAAACATAACAGTGATGAACGTGGAGAAAGTTCATACATGTTCATAAATGTAAATTAACATGCAGACATCTTATACGTTCAGGTATTTCACATCCAATCTTTTATGGTAATATTCTTTACAAAGCACAAAAATGTCGGCATTGACCTTAAAAGCTAACCAAACCTTTAAATAGACTTATTCGGAAGGGATATAGTTATGATACTGTTGTCAAGTCATTAAGGATTGCATATTTTGGTATTAATATTGATTCACTCATAGGGTCTTTGCATCGGAAATAAACACATTTATTCTAAAACCAGTTGTTGGCATGATACGGGTAATTTTCGTCTCATATATTTTATGATGGTATGATACTAAACGCCTAAAGGGAGGAATTGTACTTGATTTTCACATGATGAAGACATAATCTTTCAATCAGTTTAATTGAGGTCTGGAGCTGGCATGTCAGTAACTGCTAGTAGTCCTTTGTTAATTTATGTATCATTGTCATTTTTTGTCGAGCCTGCGACTTTTGTCCCAGAAAGCTCGACATAGGGATAGTGATCTGGCGGCGGTGGCGTTAGCTAACTTCTTAAAAGCTTTATATTTTAGAAGGTGGAAGATCTGGATGCTTCATACTTTGTATATGGATGCCTCATGTTACGAAGTTTCCGTCAGTCACATGTCCAATGTCCTTGACCTCATTTTCATGGTTCAGTGACTACTTGAAAAAAAAGTTCAGATTTTTTGTAATGTTAGATTCTCTCTTATTATAAGTAATAGGATAACTATATTTGGTATGTGCGTACCTTGCAAGGTCCTCATGCCCGTCAGACAGTTTTCACTTGACCTTGACCTCATTTCATGGATCAGTGAACAAGGTTAAGTTTTGGTGGTCAAGTCCATATCTCAGATACTTTTAGCAATAGGTCTAGTATATTCGGTGTATGGAAGGACTGTAAGGTGTACATGTCCAACTGGCAGGTGTCATCTGACCTTGACCTCATTTTCATGGTTCAGTGGTTATAGTTAAGTTTTTGTGTTTTGGTCTGTTTTTCTTATACTGTATGCAATAGGTCTACTATATTTGGTGTATGGAATGATTGTAAGGTGTACATGTCTAGCTGGTAGGTGTCATCTGACCTTGACCTCATTTTCATGGTTCAGTGGTCAAAGTAAAGTTTTTGAGTTTTGGTCTTTTTTTCTAATACTATATGCAATAGTTCAACTATATTTGTTGTATGGAAATATTTTATGATCTATATGTCAGTCACGCAGGTTTCATTTGACCGTGACCTCATTTTCAAGGTTCATTGCTCAGTGTTAAATTTTTGTGTTTTGGTCTGTTTTTCTTAAACTATAAGCAATAGGTCAACTATATTTGTTGTATGGAAGAATTGTTAGCTGTACATGCCTGCCTAGCATGGTTCATCTGACCTTGACCTCATTTTCATGGTTCATTGGTCAATGTTTAGTTTACTTGGTTAATGTTAAGTTTATGTGACAGTTGTAATAAAGCTTTATATTTAGGACTATCAACATAATATCAATGATTAGTAAAGAAGGAGAGACATTTCAGCGTGTGCACTCTTGTGCTAAGTTTCTTTTGTTACCTGTTCTGACATCGTCTCGGATTTCTTTTAAACTGAGTTTTACTGTGCATATCGCTGTGTGTTTCATTATTCTACATTGGCTAGAGGTATAGGGGAAGTGTTGAGATCTCACAAAACATGTTTAACCCTGCCTCATTTTTGCGCCTGTCCCAAGTCAGGAGCCTCTGGCCTTTGCTAGTCTTGTATGTTTTTTAATTTTAGTTCATTTATATGTTTTAGAATTTAGTATGACGTCCATTTTCACTGAACTATTACACATTTTTGTCAAGCCTGCGACTTTTGTCGCAGAAAGCTCGACATAGGAATAGTGATCTGGTTGCGGCGGCGTTAGCTAACTTCTTAAAAGCTTTATATTTTAGAAGCTATTAGACCTGGATGCTTTATACTTTGTATATAGATGCCTTATGTTACGAAGTTTCCGTCTGTCATATGTCCATTGTCCTTGACCTCATTTTCATGGTTCAGTGACTACTTGAAAAAAAAGTTAAGTTTTTTTGTAATGTTAAATTCTCTCTTATTATAAGTAATAGGATAACTATATTTAGTTTGTGCATACCTTGCAAGGTCCTCATGCCCGTCAGACAATTTTCATTTGACCTCGACCTCATTTCATGGATCAGTAAACAAGGTTAAGTTTCCGTGGTCAAGTCCATATATCAGATACTATAAGCAGTAGGTCTACTATATTTGGTATATGGAATGATTGTAAGGTGTACATGTCCAACTGGTAGGTGTCATCTGACCTTGACCTCATTTTCATGGTTCAGTGGTCAAAGTTAAGTTTTTGAGTTTTGGTCTTTTTTTCTAATACTATATGCAATAGGTCAACTATAAATGGTGTATAGAAATATTTTATGATGTACATGTCAGTCTCGCAGGTTTTATTTGACCTTGACCTCATTTTCACGGTTCATTTCTCAGTGTTAAGTTTTTTGTGTTTTGGTCTGTTTTTCCTCAACTTTAAGCAATAGATCAACTATATTTGATGTATGGAAGGATTGTAAGGTGTATATGTCTGTCTGGCAGGTATCATCTGACCTTGACCTCATTTTCATGGTTCATTGGTCAATGTTAAGTTTTCATGGTTAAGTTTGTTTCTTAGATACTATAAGCAATAGGTATCAACTATATTTAATGCCTAAATTGATTGTAAGGTGTACATGTCTGTCTGGCATGGTTCATCTGAACTTGACCTCATTTTCATGGTTCATTGGTCAATGTTAAGTTTTCTTGTTTAAGACTGTTTCTTAGAAACAATAAGCAATATGTCAACTAAGTTTGGTTTATTGAATGATTGTAAGGTGTACATGTATTTCTCGTTTGGTTTATCTGACCTTGACCTCATTTTCTTGGATCATGTTAAGTTTATGTGTTACTTGTAGTAAAGCTTTGTATTTAGGACTATCAACATAAAATCAATGGTTAGTAAAGAAGGCGAGACATTTCAGCGTGTGCACTCTTGTTATTTAGGGTCCAGCTGAGGACCACCTCAGGGTGCGGGATTTTCTCGCTGCATTGAAGACCCATTGATGGCCTTCGGCTGTTATCTGCTCTTTGGCCGGGTTGTTGTCTCTTTGACATATTCCCCATTTCCATTCTCAGTTTTATGTAAATAAATATAAGGGTTTAATTTATTAAGGTAGATGGGGTGTCTAAATTATAATTCATAGAATTTTTTAATAATTTGCCAAAATGTAGTTTATATCATGCTTTTTAAAAAATAATAATAAAAAGAATGGGTCACGGGGCTTATTTTCACGCTACAGGTTGTGCAAAATCGACAGATTTTGTATAGATTATGCATGGAAAACCCAATTTTCTGCCATAAAACGAAAACTACACCATAGAATTTTGAGATAAAATATGAGAAGATAGCTCAACTAGTATGCTTTCAGATAAGATAAAGAAAAAATGGGGTCACGGGACCCGTTTTCTTGCTACATAATAAAATAGGTAAATTCCTAACACATTCAATTGTAAAAGTAACTTTATCTGAATTATCTGCCCTTACATTTGAGTTGCCTCCCCTTATGTGGCAAAGTTGGAAAAAATAAAATCAAACAAAAGTATTCTTTTTTTTTATAAAATACAACCATAAATATGATAAAATAGGTCATTTTCTATATTAAAATGAAAATTCTTACACATGAATTACTTACTACTCTCAAAATTTGCACCTTCTATTAAATATCTAGACCGATTGTTTTCTGGTATTTCAAAATCCAAGATGGAGGAAGACACCCTATCTACCTTAAAACAAATTGTTCTAGGTTTAAAACTTGATTATATTAGGGAGATCTTGAATATTATTTGACCATTAGTGATTTATAAATTTCCTTGCAACAAGATTTATAAAATATATATACAGCCAAGTAAATCTTGTTTTAAGGAAATTACAAATGGTCATGATCAATATTCATGATATTGGAAACATCATGATCATTTGGTGCAATAATTCTCAACTGATTTAATTCTAAACTATAGGAACTAATAAATTGGGATTTGATGTAATGATCTGATTTCATAGAGTAAAAAATAGTAAAAACTAATCATGTCAGATATAATTTACTCTTTTGTAGACCAAAACCTATGTGATGGAATCTGATAAGGAGATTTTAGTGGAATATCACCAAAAATATGCTGCAGCCAAAAAGAGAACATGTATACTTGTGACTGCTATAGTAACAGCCATTGTTTTGATAGTTGCAGCAGTTTGTACATTAGGTGTATACTTTGGTGTGTATTATAGCCCAGAAAATGACAAGGCACCAATCAAACCTACAAGTTTAATGGGTCAATCTTGTTCTGACCCTTGTATGTAAGTATATAAGTATATTGTACATTTATTTTGAGTCAGGTGAAATATTTAGTTAGTGATTTTATTATTACAAAAATGCACCTTTACTGGTAGAGGAAGATAGGGGGGAAATTACCTCCCTTGACTAACTGTCTTAATTATTTAAATGAGTGATTATTAATCTCTGCTAAAGAAACATTGTTTTTGATGGTAGAATTTTTAAACAGGTAATTGGCATTCCAATGGGAACCAATCATACCCTAAACAGGCTGACCAGTTTTACCTTTTTTTAGGTTTATAAATTTGAATTCATTCAGTCATTTATTAATGGTAAGATTAAGCAAGAGTGTTGCGCCCATATTCTGATATATTGATAATATGCTATCTTTATTCTTAGTATATATAGATAAATGTAGTCCATGTTTTTCTTACTGGATTTGATTGATTTGTTGTCCATCCAAACATAAGAGATTAAAAAAAAAAATAATCTTCTGATTTTTGCAGCTATGCTATTGAAGAGAAGAATAGCATTTTCTAGATACTCACATCCTTAAGCACCAATTTGATTTTAAGATTACAATTGAATATAAATTATGTTTCCCTTTTTTGGAACTTTACTGGTATGAAAACCTCAAATTGTTGACTCATGTGATTAATGCAGTTCAACTTCCGACAAGGGAAATAACCTTCTTCAAATTGTAATTTTAGATTAAAATTAATGATGCAGGAAATTAGTTTCTGGAAAGGGCTATACACATCTACATCTAATATGAATATATTTTAGTGGACAAGCACATCATTATGTGGTTCTGCTGTCGTTCTTTATTATGTATATATATAACATTGAGGCATTAGCCAATAGTTGTATGTATGGTACCACATGTCGATATAAGAAGATGTGGTATGAGTGCCAATGAGACAACTCTCCATCCAAGTCAAAATTTATAAAATTAAACCATTATAGGTCAAAGTACGGTCTTCAACACAGAGCCTTGGCTCACACCGAACAGTAAGCTACATGTATTTTCTGTGCTACAGAAGATTTAATATTTTCCACCAGACAATGAAAATTTGCACATAGGAAATGACATCAACCAATCATAGTTTGATATTTTAATATAATAACCTTTATTCTTACAGATTAAACTTGGTAGAAAGTATTCCTGACAATCTAACCTTTGTCCAAGGAGCACCTCTCCATTCCTCCACATATGAAGGGATAATGAGTTTAATGGCTAATGCCAAAGAGACCATAGAGATAGCTTCTTATTATTGGACACTGAATGGACAAGATTTACCCTTCCATGATAACTCCTCTTGGGAGGTATGTTGCATTTGTAATGTCAGTATTATACAGGTCACTTTAACTTACACTTTACACATGAACATGACACTTCATTTCAGTGTTGATTTAAGTGTGAATGAAAGGAGACAGGAGGTAACCCTATAATGGATGAGGTTTTTAATCAACCAAACAACATAGGTTTACCAAAATAAACATCTAACATGTCTAAGAGGTCAACAATAAACAAGGTATCAAAATTACCCAGAGTCAAAACTAGTTGCAAAAACAGTACATACAATATGTGCAAGGTATTTAGTAAACATAAATCTTAGTGATGATTTTTTCACAGTCAATACAGGTGATTGTTTGTGATTTACAGTGATTCACTCTGAAATAGCTCTTTGCATATTATGGCAGATTAGTAAACCATAGTATTATCTCTTCAAATCATTAGCAATTGCCCTGTTTCACTATGATTCACTAGACACCAAAAGGGTCTCTAAATGGATCACCTTTGAGCCACAGAATTTTAACTACTGTAAATTCAGAAATTATTGTGAGCATTTATTATTGCAATTTTGACATGACCAACCAAAATTTGAGATTAATTATTGCGATTGCAAGAAAAGCTGCATAGAAATATATAGATGACTGATATCAGATTGCAAATTCTAATTATTACTATACTCACCTCGTAGCATTGTTAGCATAAAATAAAAACTTGCAATAATTTCTGAAATTACAGTAATCATTCTAATAGTTTCACAGCTAAAAAAACAAATTGTGTGATCAGATTTGTGACCTCTTAACTTTTTTTTTATTGATGAAGTTATTATTTCTCTATTTTTTAGTGGAGTGTAACAGGGTGTATCAAGAGAAGCTTTGAATCTTGATGATTTTTTTTATCTAGAAAGATTCGATGAATAATAACATATTATTTTTGGGGAAAAAATCCTTTTAGATTATCATTAAAAAGAAAAGTAAAATTTGTTATTGTATTAAACAGATTGTGTATTTCTTGTTTTGAAGAAAATGGATAATTGGATTAGCACTTGCTAAGGATAGTCCATTCCTATACTTTATTTATATTTATTTGCAGGGAGAATCAATCCTTGAAACTCTGATATCATCTGGTAGGGACAAAAAGATAAAGATCAAGATTGTTCAAAATAAACCTAAGGGAAGAAATAACAACACAGAAGCATTAGCTAAATATGGTTAGTATTTAATGGTGGTGTAGTCTGGAAATTTTCAAAATAAGAAGTTTCACCGCTAAAAGCAAGTTCCAGAGTAAATTTCATTTATTTTTCTGTACTGTTATTCAACAGTAAGGGAGTTCCAATCTGGATTTGCCAATGGGGTGTTAGCAGGAAAATAATATGGCATGTGAGATTTAATAATGAGTAATTTCAAAACCAAACTCAAAAATAGAACTCATTTGTTTTTATGGCTTGCTTTGGATATTAGGTGTCATTACGATTTTATGTTTCTATATATATTTCTGTGTGTCCATCTGGCTTTTACTTAATTAAGGGAACCCAACCCATATAGGGCTGTACTTAATAACCTTAAGAAAACTAACCCCTACCCATACCCAACCCTAATACTTACCCTAGCCCGTTATTCTCACCCTTATCTAAATAAATCACTAACCTTACCCTAACCTTGGCCTAACCATAAACTGAATCTTAACTATAAAGTTCAGGGTCAATTAAAGTAAATGAAGGTCGTTAGTCTGTTGGTCCTTCCTGTATCAGATTAAAGCTTTTTGTTAAGGTAGTTTTTTATGAAATTCTGGTCACATCATTTTGAAACAAACTTAGAACAAAAAAAATTGAGAATGGAAATGGGAAATGTGTCAAAGAGACAACAATCCGACCAAAGAGCAGAAAACAGCTAAAGGCAACCAATGGGTCTTCAACACAGCGAGAAAATCCCGCACCCGGAGATGTTCATTTAGATTCAAACTCTTTAAAATATTTTCCAACTCCGATTTCTGAACCATATTTCCCATTCACTGAACATGGTAAATTAATTTGATACTGTTTGAATTTTCTTGCTTTAAAATTTTATTATTGCAAAGCCACGGCTTCCTGAAATTTGGTATCAAGACTTATGTAAGCATGCTATATTTTGTTATGCATTTTCAGATTCATCACTCTTCCTCTACCTCTTTCCAAATACTTATATACTCTATGTGTTTCTTTATTCTACATTAGCTAGAGGTATAAGGGGAGGGTTGAGATCTCACAAAACATGTTTAACCCCGCCGCATTTTTGTGCCTGTCCCAAGTCAGGAGCCTCTGGCCTTTGTTAGTCTTGTATGTTTTTTAATTTTAGTTCATTTATATGTTTTGGAGTTTAGTGTGACGTCCATTTTCACTGAACTAGTACACAATTTTGTTTAGGGGCCAGCTGAGGACCACCTCCGGGTGCGGGATTTTCTCGCTGCGTTGAAGACCCATTGGTGGCCTTTGGCTTTTGTCTGCTCTTTGGTCGGTTTGTTGTCTCTTTGACGTATTCCCCATTTCCATTCTCAATTTTATTTATTACACATAACAGCCATGGGTGAAATTTCATCACTTTTATTTCAGGAATTACAAATCACAGTCTTCTGAAATTTGGAATAAACCTTCATGTGAGCATGCTTTACAGTGTGATGGGTTTATACATCCGTCAGTCATCAAATTCCTGTCCACATGTTTAACACACCTTCTCACAAAAATTTTTTTTTTTTTTTTTTATCTTGTTCCATTACTTTTAACAGCTGGTGCAGAAGTGAGAACTTTGGATTTTGACAAGCTATTGGGTGCTGGAATTATCCATACAAAGATGTGGTTAATAGACAGAAAACATTTCTATGTGGGCAGTGCCAACTTAGACTGGCGATCTTATACACAGGTATGATAAAACATTTAATTTTTGAAATGTTACCTCTTTACCTCATTTAACTTATTTGTTTGCATTTAAGATAAATCTTACAGTCACTATTCTACACAAATGTTCTAAATGCTCCAATTTTTGTTTACAGCAGCTGATAATTAAGGGTTAAACTATTGTAAATAATTTATCACTACTAGTATATTTGGTTCTGTGAATGGAAGAAATCTTGGCCATTGAAAAAAAGGTATAGATAGATCTCCATTGCATTCATATAAGAGCTATTTTCATTTGCCATGATGTTGGGCGACAACGTACACAAATTCCTTCATACAAAGACATTTAAAAATTTGTATTCTGAACAACATTTAAGCCATGAATAATTCATAACTATGATCTAGTAAGAATATTTCATCAGACTTGCTTGTACCACATATTCAAATAAGGTTAGTCAAATAAGAAAATCAACCAGTTCGCCTTCCAACATTGGGCTAAGGGATATTACTGCAACACAAATTATTTTCATTGAAATTTTTCTAAAGTCATGACAGTGATTTTTCCTTGCAATAGGTTATCTTAAGGCTCATAGGTTCTTTAAAAATATTCTTCTACATTCAGAGGACATGGCTTTCACAAGACATGTTTAAAGTCCCAGTTTTGACTGGATGTTAATGAATATGAATCACCCATCCTCAGAGTTAACCATTGATCCATGGATTTACCCTTACCCTTCAGTCCTTCCATTCTCTGTACATATCAATGATTTGTGATTAGACATTTGACATATTTCTTGTGTTTAACACCACTGTCAACACTCATGGCTATATCATGGCTGCCAACTTTTATCACTGGAAGTAGCCGGAGTACCGAGAAAGAACTACTGACCTTCAGCATGAAAAATGGCAATTGGAGTTGAACAGACCTTGCCACAAGGGAGGTCAGAACTTTCAATCTCAGTGTTGACAGGCTGTTGATCACTATATATAGAAGGACTACTTAGACCACTCAGACATAAAGCCACCATTTGACAATTGTTATTAAGAGTTATATGGTGCAAAGTATTTCCAATGTTGTAAACTTGACTGTCCAAGCTAACAATTAATGATTGTAATATTTCCATTATTGATGTAAATCAATCTCAAGTTTTTTATGACCCTTTTTTCCTCAACTGTGCATCATATTGATTTTTTGTTAAGCAAAATGTTGGTGAGTTGAAAGGTTAAATGCACATTCATATATAGCTTTTGCTCAACTAGCTTCTGTATGTTATACTTAATTTGTGTACGCACATTTCTCAGCAGCTATAGCATTTGATCATTTGGTTCTTGGGCAATACTTTTCTCAGTAAGGTTATTCCATTTAAATGGAGGTGGGAGGGATTGGAAGGAAAGTTTTATATCTGGACATTAGTTGTATGTTCATTTGATGTATGTTTATCTGACTTTTTTGGTTGGAAAACTTCTCATTTCAGAACGAAAATGAATAAATGTGTTTAAATCAGTTTGACTGGTAAACTTTTACTCTTATGCAAAGAAAGTGTTGTTTCCCACTCAAATGTGTGTCTAAATTAGTTTGACTGATAAAGTTATATTCTTGTTCAAAGAAATTAAGCTATGATGGGTTTGTTTGTTCCTCACTCACTAATTTTTATACCTACCCTTACCTTTTTCATATTTGACCAAGTATAATGATCAATAGACATTTCCCTCTAAGTCTCTTTTAATCTATTATATAAATATAATATGTAGAGACAACAACATCTGGGTTACCGCAAGGTGATAGTTTTATTGAGTCTACATGTTTCGCCACTTACGGTGGCGTCTTCAGGACAATTTAAACATAGAAAACAAATACTGAAATACATAAAATGCGGTGCATATGGGGTTACAAAGGTTAACAAGACGTAACGTCACAATAATTGATTTGACAACTTTAAAATGAAAGTGAAAGTAAAAGTTAATAATGCATTGTCAGTGTCTTTTCCAAAATGGACAACACCTCACAGGACATTCCGTACCATTCCAAAAGGCTTCACTCGGAAAGTGGTACTACTTCCAATTGCGTCGGGAATGTTGTAAGGTGGTACCGCAAAACGTACTGAACCGCAGAACCGCACGATTATTGTTGAAATAAACTTGCAACATGGATAGTGTACCACAACCGCAAAATGTAACCAATTCACCACAACTTCCACCATGCCCTACATGTGCGACTACCATACATCTTACAACATTCCCGACGCAATTGGAAGTAGTACCTCTTTCCGAGTGAAGCCTTTTGGAATGGTACGGAATGTCCTGTGAGGTGTTGTCCATTTTGGAAAAGACACTGACAATGCATTATTAACTTTTACTTTCACTTTCATTTTAAAGTTGTCAAATCAATTATTGTGACGTTACGTCTTGTTAACCTTTGTAACCCCATATGCACCGCATTTTATGTATTTCAGTATTTGTTTTCTATGTTTAAATTGTCCTGAAGACGCCACCGTAAGTGGCGAAACATGTAGACTCAATAAAACTATCACCTTGCGGTAACCCAGATGTTGTTGTCTCTACATATTATATTTCCATGAGGTTTTAAGACAACCGCAGCATACTTCGGTATCCATCTTGGTTACTCTACCAGCTTTTCCGTTAGAAGGTGTTGGTTCACTCGTCACAAATTATTATATAAATAGATTATGATTTCTACCTTCTAATTAACATTTTAACTAATAAAACCCTCCATCAGATAGTAATCTTATTTTTTCATAAATTAATTTGCAGTTATTCCCTGTAATATTGTTTGAATAGTGTAAGTAACCAATTTAAATGCACATCAATTTTGTATTCTTTATGTTTAGATATTTTGTAATTCCCTTGTTTATACATGACATATAGGTATCCCCATTTCTTTCATACATGACATAGGTAATCCTCATTTCTTACATACATGACAAAGGTAATCCCTGTTTCTTACATACACGACTTAGTTATTCCCCTTCTACCATACATGACATAGTTATTCCCTTTTCATATATATAAATTTGTCAAAATACAATTCCTCATTTTTTGCAGGTGAAAGAACTAGGAGCAGTCATTTATAATTGTCCATGTATGGCAAAAGACATGGGAAAATTATTTGATGTGTACTGGTACCTAGGTGTACCAGGTACTACTGTTCCTTCTTCTTGGCCCTCATCTTTCAGTACTGATATAAATAGCAACACCTCCATGCAGATTCAGTATAATGGCACTGCTGCAACAACATACCTGTCAGTAAGTGATGATAATTCCCTTCTTAGATTAGAAGGAAAAATGTATAAACAATTAAAATGTGTCCTCACACTATTTTAAGCTACTCGTCGATTTGTCAATTCTGAGAAAAGGATGTAAAGATATTGCTCACTTATCACAAAAGAGCCAAACAGATCTGAAGAACAATAATTAATTGGATATATTTTTTTTTTGGCAATACATGTACTACATAAAAATGGATAACAGGAATTTTCAAAAATACTACACAGTAGAATACGGTATAAATATTATTGTCACACCATGCAAATTAATTTAACCTCTGTCGTACATTCTTTTCTTCTTCTTCATTTATGTAAAAAAAAAATTTACTACATAGTTTCTTCAATTTATGTTTTAATATTAAACAATATTATCATGATTATAACGACATATAAAATAAAGGTATTCTAAAGTTTCAGAATGATTTTCATTTCAGAGTTCCCCTCCGCCATTTTGTCCTAATGGTAGGACAGTAGACATTGATGCCATAGTAGATGTCATACATAAAGCAGATAAATTTGTGTATATAGCTGTAATGGATTACTTCCCAACTACACAATTCTCTAGACCTAGGAAGTAAGTTTTTTTAGCTCACCGGGGCCCAAAGGGCCCCATGTGAGCTTATGCCATCACTTGGCGTCCGTCTTCGTCGTTGTTGTCTGTCGTCGTAAACTATTTCAAAAATCTTCTCCTCTGAAACTACTGGGCCAAATACCTTCAAACTTTAACTAAATGTTCCTTAGGGTATCTTGTTTATAAATTGTATCCGAAGTTTGTATCCATAGACAAACATGGCCGCCATGGCTAAAAATAGAACATAAGGGTCAAATGCAGTTTTTTGCTTATATCTCAAAAACTAAATCTTTTAGAGCAAATGTGACATGGGGTAAAATTATTTACTTGGTAAAGATCTATCAGCTCTGAAATTTTCAGACGAATCGAACAACCCATTGTTGGGTTGCTGCCACCGAATTGGTAGTTTGGTCGTATATTGGTATGATGTTGGCGTCGTCGTCGTCGTCTGAAGACACATTGGTTTTCGCACTCTAACTTAAGTTTAAGTGAATGGATCTCTATGAAATTTTACCATAAGGTTCAATACCACAAAAGGAAGGTTGGGATTGATTTTAGGGGGTTAAGGTACCAACAGTTAAGGAATTAGGAGCCAAAAAGGGGCCAAAAATAAGCATTTTTGTAACTTCCAGACATAACTTGTGTGATAGTGTATGGATCTCTCTGACATTGTACCAAAAGGTTCCATATCACACAGGGAATGCTGGGATTGATTTTGGGGGTAATTGCCTCAAAATATTAGGAATTAGGGGCCAAAAAAGGGGCAAAAAACAATCATTTTTCTAGTTTCATGACAATAACTTGTGTGTAAGTGTATGGATCTTTCTGAAATTGTACTACAAGGTTCCATATCACGAAGGGAAAGCTGGAATTGAGTTTGGGGGTAATTGCCCAAAATGTTTAGGAATAAGGGGCCAAAAAGGGGCCAAAAATAAGCATTTTTCTAGTTTCCAGACAATAACTTGTGTTCAAGTGTATGGATCTCTCTGAAATTGTACCACAAGGTTCCATATCACACAGGGAATGCTGGGATTGATTTTGGGGGTAATTGCCTCAAAAAATTAGGAATTAGGGGCCAAAAAAAGGGCAAAAAACAAGCATTTTTCTAGTTTCATGACAATAACTTGTGTGTAAGTGTATGGATCTTTCTAAAATTGTACTACAAGGTTCCATATCACAAAGGGAAATCTGGAATTGAGTTTGGGGGTAATTGCCCAAAACGTTCAGGAATAAGGGGCCAAAAAGGGGCCAAAATTAAGCATTTTTTCTAGTTTCCAGACAATAACTTGTGTTCAAGTGTATGGATCTCTCTGAAATTGTACTTCAAAGTACCATATCACATAGGGAAGGCTGGGATTGATTTTGGGGGTAATTGCTTCAAAATTTTAGGAATTAGGGGCAAAAAAAGGGGGAAAAAACAAGCATTTTTCTAGTTTCAGGACAATAACTTGTGTGTAAGTGTATGGATCTTTATGAAATTGTACTACAAGGTTCCATATCACAAAGGGAAAGCTGGGTCTGAGTTTGGGGGTAATTTCCCTAAACGTTTAGGAATTTGGGGCCAAAAAACAAGCATTTTACTAGTTTCCAGACAATAACTTGTGTTCAAGTGTATGGATCTCTCTGAAATTGTACTGCAGGTACCATACCACAAAGGGAAGGCTGGGATTGAGTTTGGGAGTGATGAATCATAAGGGGGTTCAAAAAATTTGGGGGGGATTTTTTTTTCTTTAAAATTTTCCATTTTAAATTGGTTATTTCTGATTTATATATAAAAGCAAATAATAATGATTTGGTTTGAATAGGTAAATTAAAAAATTTTAAGTTCTTAGACCACATTCATTCTGTGTCAGAAACCTGTGCTGTGTCAAATATTTAATCACAATCCAAATTCAGTGCTGTATCAAGCTTGAATTTTGTGTCCATACTTGCCCCAACTGTTCAGGGTTCGACCTCTGCGGTCGTATCAAGCTGCGCCGGAGCATTTTATTTGTTATGAATTTAAATATTATTATAGATATATATAAACTGTAAGCAGCAATAATGTTCAGCAAAGTAAGATCTACAAAAAATTTAAATGACCATAATTGTCAATTGACCCCTTAAGGAGTTATTGCCCTTTAAAGACAATTTTACACAATTTGTTCAAGTTTGCTAACATTTAAAAATCTTCTCCTCTGAAACTACTGAGCCAATGAGCTTCAAACTTTAACTAAATGTTCCTTATGGTATCTTGTTTATAAATTGTATCCGAAGTTTGTATCCATCGACAAACATGGCCGCCATGGCTAAAAATAGAACATAAGGATCAAATGCAGTTTTTGGCTTATATCTCAAAAACTAAATCTTTTAGAGCAAATGTGACGAATCGAACAACCCATTGTTGGGTTGCTGCCACCAAATTGGTAGTTTTAACAAAATTTTGCAGTTTTTTGTTATTATTTTGAATATTATTATAGATATATATAAACTGTAAGCAGCAATAATGTTCAGCAAAGTAAGATCTACAAAAAAGTTAATATGACCAAAATTGTCAATTGACCCCTTAAGGAGTTATTGCCCTTTAAAGACAATTTTACACAATTTGTTCATCAAGTTTGCTAACATTTAAAAATCTTCTCCTCTGAAATACAGGTGAGCGATTCAGGCTCTTGAGAGCCACTTGTTTCTCATTTTAAATTGAAAATCTAATTTCTGTTAATAAATTTTATTTTCACAATGATGCGTTACCATATTTTATATTTTTTAAATTCAAATGAAATGCTTCATCAAAATTGAATAGAAATTCCTCTCCTAAATTTGAAAAATTTAGCGACATCTCAAGCTGAATTCCAAATTAAATGCAATGCAAATGTAGGCATGGTAGGTGACAGATCTGACGAAATATGAATTTTTGTCTTTCTTCTATTTTGAAAATAACAAAATTTCTTTTGTTGCTCATTGGAATTATTAATTTTGCTCAAAATTTTTTTTTCAAAACACTTAGTCATGTGATTACATTCCATTTTTGCAATGTCATCAAAAACAAAACTGGCAATAATGGGACACAGAAGGTTCATTACCACGTTTATGTTCGGGTAATCAATTGTTTGTTCTTATTTCTACAATTTGTATCACATGATCACCTGGTTTGATTTGTTTGAGAGTGTTGATTTACCTAATGACACTATTAAACATCGAGGAACAAGTTCAATGAAAGTAAAAAATGGTTTCCTTGAAAAAAAATGTATAGAGTCTATATTTTCGCGTTTAAATTTTTACTTAAAATATTTCAATGGTGCAGAAATTCATGAAATCATGTCCAATCTTTTTTATTTTAATAGATACTGGCCAGTAATAGATGATGCTTTACGTAAGGCTGCTTTTGACAGGAGGATATCAGTCAAGCTTTTAATAAGTTATTGGAATAATACGTGGGAAGAAATGCCTTTGTATCTGAAGTCATTGAATATACTGAAATATTCTGATTATGGAGTCCATACTAACATTGAAGTGGTGAGACCTCATTAAAATTTAGTAAAATGAAGTACAATTTTTATTTATTTTACAAGTCTTACATTTGCCAAGATGACAACAAATACAGCATTAACAACTAGAAATACTTCTTTTCACATTTTTTTATGCAGGTTGACACCTGATCTGGACCACATTTTCATGGTTGAAAACACAAGAAAAGTTTAAATGAGTGAAATACATGTTAATGTGACTATTTTACACAGTTTTAACTTTAATTTATGGTCCTGGGCTGGTATGCATAAAACCACTTATGTTAAGATATCCAATTGTAGTACTAATTTATCGTAGGACATGTAGAAAAATCTGTCTGTTCGGAACAAATCTTAATTTAAGTAGTTTTATGCATATCAGCCTGTGTTCAAAACAGCATAAGTTTACCAAAATAGACATTCAAAAGCCACATGCCCATAAGTTGGACAGAGTTGAGTTTAAATTTTCTTTACTTGTGTATTTACAGAGAATGTTTGTAGTACCAGCTTTCACAGAGAGTCAGAAGAAAATACCATTTGCCAGAGTAAATCATAATAAATATATGGTAACAGATAAAACAGCTTATATTGGTAACATGTCTTTTTTTGGCAGTCTACAATATTGAATTATCCATATGAAATCATTTATAAAGAGTACATCCATTTTGCTTCATTTTATAAAAAAAAATTTAAACTGTAAATTAGTAGCTTATACAGTATATATAATGGACAGCTTTACAGACAGCATGGTTCTTATAAACGAAAACGGCTCTTTCTGTGGGTACAATTATTGAAAGTTTGAACCTCACTCTGCTTGTGGACTTTTAGCCCCTGAGGGTATCCTCAATTTTGTCATTTTCATCGAAGTTTGAGATAGGCGGCGATTCTTTGATTTCAGCATACATACCTATTCTTCAAATAAAGCTTTGCACAATGTTCAGAATTCATGATTGATTTTGCAGTACTTCATTAGTCCTCCACATCTGTGGATGTTAGAATTGTTGGCCCTGAGCGTTCCTATAAATAAATCATTAAATGTGCATAGAACCCATAAACATGATACTTCTTAATTTAATTATCTGTATGCAAACAAAATGAATTACTGCAACTCACTGCATGCTCAAATATGAGAAGCTTTAATTTATGATATACGAAAAGGTTAAAAGGTTGAGTGTAAAGGAGATGTGTTATGATTGTCAATGAGACAACTATCCAAAAAAAACTAAATGAAGTGGATTTAAATATTTATAGGTTATCCACAACAATGAGCAAAACCTAAACCATATAAATCAGCTATAAAAGCCCCAGACATGACAGAATCTGATACAATTCAATAAAAAAAAAACCAAAAGCCTAATTTACAAAAAAGAAATATAGCAGATAGCAACTGAGGACAACCATTGGCCCTCAGCTTAGGACAGGCACATATAGAATGTGATAGGATAAGACCAATTGTGAGTGCTCAACCATTCCCCTAATCTTTGCTGCAAATGTATGTGATTCCACAAATTCAAAGCAGTAACAATAAATGAAGAAAACATAACAACAAAAACCACTGATACTTTCTTTTTCAGGAACATCTAACTGGTCAGGAGATTATTTCATTGACACAGGAGGTATAGGACTGATTGTAAATCAGAACGTGACGGCAGAGCCTGGAAATGTACGAAAACAATTAGAGGATATATTTTACAGAGACTGGGATTCTCAATACTCTACTAATATTGATCATTTTAACTTTACTACAAAAAGACATACTGAATTATAATTACTAATGCAGCATTAAACATATTTGTATAATAGACTAGAGTACATTACCAAAGGTGCTGATAATACTCATTCTGTCTTCTAAAAAGAATTTTGTAGAGTAGTTATTATCATGGAGTGCTAACTTTGACTTCTTTATGTAAAAATGTTTATTGATATAGAATCTGCTGATAGTTTACACGAGTATTACATGTATGGTATATTTGCTCATGAATTCTCCACACTAAATTCATTCCATTTTATTGTCAACATTATATTTACTGCAAAGGAGAAGGTTCCATAAGGCCCCAATTGAGCCCCTATTTCTGGCCAAAATTTCAAATTAGGATATTTTGGCCTCTATCACAATGATTCATAGCTTAAACAATGACTAATTATGAAAAAATTATGAATGATACATATATAAGATTGAGAACTTTTTTATCCTTGCTGAAAAATATATTTACAACAAATCAAAACAGTGATAGAAATAACTAGATTTGGATATAAACATAATTAAAGCCTGCTAAATATCAATATTGAAAGTGACAAGGGTCTTGTAGGCACAAATTTGGAATCAAGACCTGTACTTCAAAAGACAAGTCTATGCAGTTAGTTCGCTTTGTGTAGGATAGAAGAAATTACCAGCCAGCATTGTAGATGACATATTTTGGCTTAGACAATAAACATTCATACACATGTTTTGTTTTCTAAAAAATCTAGATCTTTTTTAATGTCGAAAAAACTACGTTTAAGCGATATTACTTTTAACTGCATGACTGACTTAAAATTATTGATGTGTAAATTTGAACACGGACAAAGAATTTTTATGCAAAAAATCTTTTTTCTTGCTGACAATTTTCACCACACAGTAAATCCAATGAAGTATGTAACAATTTTGGTTGGCCTAAGAGTGTTATTTTTAAAAGAAAAAAATCTTTTTGTAGTATATACTAATCAATTGTATGTACGTTTGTAAGTGATTGTTTCATAATTTATTGTTTATGTTTATTAAATTAATGTTTTTTTTGCAATTTCTTTTGATACTTTTGTCAACACCTCACATATGGTATTCCCTTGTTACCATTTCTGTATAGCATTTACGTGTCGTGAATTAACTTGTGCATGTCTTGAAGAATTTACTCTAACCTTAACCAAATTATTTAGAATGGATGTCTTAGAATATGTTTTTACTGATTTGTTATGAAAAAAGAAATATTTGAAAAGTCATCAGCTATCTCTAGTTTGCCTCAAGCAGTTTTCTTCATACTTCAAAATTATTGGAGGATGAAACAGTTTCACATGTCGCTCACTTTCTAAAGCATGCTTTGATCGATTTACTTCACAAACTTTACCAAAATTTTAAGAATGTTGTCCTGAGGGTTAATATACTTTTTACAATTTTCACTTTTATTTTCAAATACCTCACAATAAATTTCATGAGTATTGCTTTGGATAGGCGTATCATATGCCCATAGCGCAGTTTGTGTATTAATTATGTGTTTTATACACCAATTGTTACTCTGTCCACCATAGAAGGAAATAAAATGTTTTTAGTAATTTTTATACATGCGACATCAAAAGATTGACATTAAAAATTACAGTAATTTTGTTTAAATGTCATTACAACAGGTCAACAACTAGCAGAAAAAATATGCCAGGTGATAAATGTTTTGTAAAAGGAAAAAAAATATTGAGTAAAAACATTAAACCTGTACATCATTTGGTCTCTGGTGGAGAGTTGTCTCATTGGCAATCATACCACATCATTTATTTTTTCCTTATATAACATAAATTGACACACTTTGTCTGTTATAATGCTAAATTTACCTTAAACTTTTATATAAAAAGGCTCATCTTGTTATATTTTACAATATTTTATGTTATTGTACTTAAACTAAGGAGGCAACTTCTTCTGCCCAAATGTTAATGGCTGTGCTGTAGAGAAACTGTTCATGCGATTCCATCAGTTTTTGTTATTTACCTTGATTCGTATCTTCTCAATAGATATACAAAATTTAAATATCGCCAAAGCTCTATAGCTAATTAGGAACATTTGGTGTTCATGCTGACTATCATTTTATGTGTCCTTCTCTAAAATTGGTCGATGAAGGTTATTCCAAAATCATGTTCAGTGTATATTGAAATTGGAATCATTCATGTTTCCATCATTTTAACCAACTACATTTTTTCTTTTTTATAATATAAATTAAAAAGTTCAATATTTTAATGTTTTATTTTGGTTTAATTGCATTATCATGAATGCTCAAATCTAAACATTTGAAAGCCAACAATGTTTATATAAAAAAATATGTTGGGAGCTATATGACAAAAAGGACCTAAAAGGCAAAGTATAATTTTCAACTTTATCTGTAGTAGTTGGAACTTAAGTTTCTAAATAATTTCTTTATTTATCCAGCGGAAATTTACAATATTATAAATCATGTTATTACCCAAACACTGACTATTTTGCCACAAATTATGTCACCTTTGTCTCGTTTGAATGAAGTTATAAAAGCATGACTTCAGTGTGCTCTTTTGGCAGTGGAGGTATCAGCAATGTATAAGTTTGTGATAAGGTCAGTTTAAGGGGAACCATTAGTGGTAGGTCTATTATACTTGTTGAAGATGTATAAGAATTGGCACATCTTATTTCCATAGAAATGATTTGGCTCCCTTCCCTCAGTTATGGTCTATTGACTTTGAAAATTTTGCATAGTTTACATGTTAAGGTTTGTGATTAGATCAGTTTAATTTGAACCAGTGATGTTAAGTCAATGGTATTTTGTATGCAATCGTATAAGCATTTGCAAGTCTCACTTCCATGGAGGTTATATGGCCCTGTTCATTGACTTTAAAACTTTTGCTTTGTTTACAAGTTAAAGTTTGTGTTTAGGTTAGTTTAAAGAGAACCACTTTTAATTAGGCAATGGTATTCTGTATGCAGTTTTATTGGCATTTGCATTGTCATTTCCATTGAGGTTATTTGGCCCTGCACCTTCAGTCATTTTAAAAATAAGAAGATGTAGTTTGTGGTATGTGGTACAACAAACAAGTAACAAAGTACAGATCTGAGAGTACTATGGTTAATTGACTTTGAATGTTTTGTATTTCAGTGTTTTACTGATAGGTGGACTATTTTGCATTTAATATTTACTTCAGTATGGGATTAAATATTTTGACATGATAGATTTATAAACCTTTATTAATTGTTATGAAAATTGGGCAGAAACTAATCTTCAAAATCAAGAAATAGCATCAGAATTATAAAGTTAGATTTTAGAAATAATTTCAGTATCTTACTGATAAATGCACTTTCTTTTTACAGTCAGCATTACACTTTTACACTGACAGCAGTAAGCAGAGTCTAGACACAGGGTTCCGTAGAACCCTTTACAATTTGTTTCTACCTATGAAACGAAGAAATAACAAAGGGTATTGGTTATCATATGCATCCTGTTGAAAAATATTTAGCAGAGACCATTGCTGAAAACCCGTTCTCTGATAAAATGACTCTCTAATTAGATTATTAGCAAGAGAATCTCTATGATATACAATTACAATCTTAAGGTATAGAACCGCTGATTCGGGCCTGGTCAGAAAGAACATACAAGAAAGTAGTACATATTTTAAACAAAATAGTTCCTAGCATAGCTGTAACTTTGTCAATAAGTAAAATATTTTGGCAATTTTGGTATCAAATGAAAGCTTAAGTACTTGTTGAAAGTTTTTTTTGAATAATGAAAAAAATATATAAAATTATAATAAGAGAGCACATTTGACCTGTTGTTCAGATCAGAAGTACCTGTTTTTGTACTACAAAACTTCCAGGAACCAGTGCGCTCTAGTATGCAATTAAAGGTATGTTGACTTTTTCAGCACACGTCTAGATAAGGTATAGTTTTGACATGAAATGACTGCCACTTTATTTGAACTTGAGACAAAGTAGCCATTAATACTTGAAAATGCAGAAATTTAACATAGAAAGCAATGGGGTTATGAATTAGTGGTTTAATTCCTTAAAGATCTCCGTATTGTCTACATGAGGAAAATTAGATAATAGAGGCTCAGTAGTTTACGGATGTTCAAATCTCATAAATCAATTAAGGATGTTCCCCTTCTGTGTTTCAAAATAACAAACTTTTTAAAAGACTGTTATAAAATGATAGTATATAAATAACGGAACTAAAAAAGCAGAAAAAAATGTAGGGTCCCTGTGCTTGTTTTCGAGATATAAGCCATTGAAAATTTGGCGGAAAATTATTCTCTCTAGATTTTTCCTGCATATTACATTGGCTCCTTTTTTCTTTCAAAAGCTATGAAAAAAATAACAAGATTTTATAAGATTTTCAAATAAGTCTTTTTAAACTATATGTTATAAAATTTAGAAAAGAAAAGTAGGGGTTAGCGGGCAAAATTTTTAATGGCACTAGATGGATAAAACCAGAGGATTCCAAATATCTGGCAAAAAATCAAAAACAAGAGGAGCCAACATCCTTAAGAAAATAACAATCAAGGTAAAAAAAATTTGAGGGAATGGTATGAACTCTCAAAGTAACGAGACCGTGTAAATGATGGTAATATAAGATATAACTTTGGACTAAGCTTCTACGAGACAGCAACATGCCAATCGATAACGTAAATGATGATTTATAACTTCAAGTATTTTAAAGACATTTGTTAATTGTTGAAGACTAGGTTGACCATGATGTCTTTTGGACTTGTGTCAATTGGTTGCTGTCTAGTTGAAATATATCCCACATTACCTATTATTCATATATGATCACGACACATGTGCTGGATTCTTAACTGTAAAGTAAATGTCCAACATTACCCCAAGCAAATTGTTAAAGCAATTTTAGTACTGTAGTTGGCAAACTAAATAAAAATTCATTACATTTATTTTATATGCGAATAATTATATTGAATACCAATATCAGTTAAGGCCACTCCGAAATGGATTTCTTTAAGTTCTGACTCACTGACTTCTAACATTTCTTGGTTGCATTTTTTAAAAAATAAATTCCAAATAATCACCTCATTCATTGTGATTTTTTTCTGAATTTTTGCTGCATTTTTACGAAACTTAAATGTTCAAATGAAGAAAGATAATGATTTACTCCTTAGATAAGAAGGTAAAATGTATTACAAAATATCAACTTGTGTCCTCACACTATATTAAGCTGCTCATCAATGATTTGGCAATTCTAAGAAAGAACTACAGGTATTGTTCACTCATCTCATTTTCATCCAAAAAAATCTGAAGAATAACAATTAATAATGTATCGCTGGTTTTTTTTTTTTTTTTTTGCGTGCAATACTGCATATTATGGGATAACTGGAATATAAAAAAAAACTACAATTTACAACAAACCATATTTAATTATATCTACATTTTTTATTATACTAACCATATCATAATGGAAAAATGCACACAAAGCTTTCAACTGCAGGATTTTCATTACAATTTGGTCCACAATGTAGGACAATAGACATTGATGCCAAAGTAAATTTTATCAATAAGGCAGATACATGTGTGTCAAGCTGCAATGGATTATTTGCCAACTACACAAGTCTCGAAACCTAGGATTTAATTGTTTTCTTAATTTTAATTTATTTTTGATAATAATTTCATTTTTTTTCTCTGATGAGTACCTATATTTATTTATTTTTTTAAACCTCAAAACATATTCGTAAAAAGTTTCCTCATTACTGACTCAAAATTTCAGAGAAAACATATTCTAATGTTTGGAAAATTAAGCATCCGGTTTTTCCATTCAGAATCGCAAGATGCATGTTGCATAGTATATTACTATGAAATTTGAAATTTAAAGTCATTAAAGCATTTTAAGTTGTAAACGTTTACCCTCCAAATCTTTCTTCAACGTTTTACAAAACGGGTACAAAACTTGTTGTTGATGCAGCAAATCGTCGATACCGGCTCAAGACTTCTGATTTGACAATGAAAAAACTATCCCTCTCCCCCGATTTTTAAGCCCTAAACAAATACCAAAATAGCAAGAAAACGACATGTGAACCTTTAGGACAGCTTGTGGTCATTCTTGGCTAAGGGGGAGTCATGCAGGCTTGGCATTGGAATTATTACGAATGACAATTAATGAAAATATTGGTTACTTTATAATGAAATAAATATAATAAGCAATATATTAGTCTATTCACCATTCCTCACATGGAAATGGAGGAATGAAATATTTTTTATAGACGTGGGGTTTTGTCATGGTGAAAGTTCTTCCATCGTTAAATTTTCATCCATGGAGATCACTGAAGAGTTTTCAAGTTATTGCACAGACAACGGTCTAAGTATCACTTTTCGCTATTGGAAGGTCTACAACTCAACACTATAAAAGCTAAAATCGTGAAAATCGGACTTGACCTTCATTAAGAAAACAACATATCTAAATTTGAAAAGATTTCGTCAAAGCGTTTTCATGTTAATGAACGGACACTGTTTGGCAGTCGCCCGCCCGCCCGCCGTACATCCCCTAATCAATAACCGATTTTTCTTTCGGAAATCCAGTTAAAAACTTGAAAATAACGATGTTCAAATAAAGGCCTTCTGAGGAAAACAATGCTAAAAATTTGTCAAAAATCTACTTTTAATGATTAAATTAGTGGTTATATTGAACAAGTTGAAAATCTATTATTGATATTGAATAAATACAACATTGCATGCTGATTTGTGAATTGGTACATGTATTTTGATTTACTTAGCAGATAGATATTGTCTTCAGGTAAATTAATCAATGAGTGATGGATTTCCCTTAGAAGAAAGTTAAAGGTCCAAGTGAATAAACTACACAGAGAACCATAGCTATTGTATTTATTCAATGGGACAAAAGAACTGACAAAAGTTTAAATACCTTGAACAAGAGAAATTGATTTTGTAGATGTTTCATTTCTTTCGCAATAATAATAATTTAAAGATTAAAAACTGCTAAAAACTGCAACCATTGTAATAAGTCAAAACTGCAAATTCCTCAGGAATTGGTCATGTAACGTTCATTTTTGAGAAACCCGAAGTTTTCAAAGTAAAAATAAAAAAGCCTTCATTTTAACATGTTCATTGGGATTTGAACGTTTTACAAAGTAGGCCAAATTAGAGTTTTGACTCGGGTATTTGGGTTCCTAAATAAAGGCAACAGTAGTAGTAGTATGCCGGTGTTCAAAAGCCATAAATCGATTGAGAGAAAACAATTCCGGGTCACAAACTAAAACCGAGGGAAACACATCAACCATAAGAGGAAAACAAAGGAACAACAGGAAAACTGAAGTGCAACAAAAACAAACGCCAACATACATAGAAACGAAATCTGGAAATGTAATAGTGCCTACATGGCATGGTGACATGTAGACACATTCATGCCATATTCTTAATTTTCTTCAATATTCAATACATTTTTGTACCTGCTTTATTTCAGACAGATTCATTGAAAATTATTCAACTGTAAATACCGAAATATTTGAAATGAGAAAAATTGAGATATTTAGAACTGAAGCTTGCTCCTGACAAAGACATTTAACATCTTTGATATGGTTCTACAATTAACATATTTTTTAAGTTTTAAAAAGCAACATTTTTGGTAAATAACCACTCATTGAACAAGCAACAACCATCATTCCTGTGCCTCTGTTTATGTCTAGTCCTGTAGGATTAATTATTCCATTAGCATCTGAAAGTATTGTTTTACTTGTTTTTCCATCAGGTGACACCACTACAATTTTATTTGTTTCAAAAGAAGCCACGTAAACAAAGCCATTAATGTCCAATGCAAGTCCAGTCGGAGATTTAATATCATTGTGCATAAATGTCCACAGAGGTTCTCCAGTCGTTTGGTAACAACTCACTTTTTGTTCAATCAAGCCAGTGCAGTAAATCTTTTCTTTGAATATAGAAATATAGTTTCCGCCAACTCCTTCTAAGATTTTATGGGACATATCTTTCAGATTAACTATAGTACATTTTTTTTCACCAATGACTACCAAAATTTGACTGTCACTCGTTACTCCACGGCAGTCATGAGAAAGTTCAATTGTTTTAATGATTTTGTTCTTTTCTATATCAACCAGTGCTAACTGCTCTATTCTTGCTAATGAAATGGCTGCTGTATTATTTCTAACAATGCAAAGATTATGTGGAGAGCCTTCAAATGTCACCACAATTCTCATGAAGATGCCATCTTTACTGAAAAGCAATAGTTGGCTTTGATTGAAATCGAGGATTAAAATTTTCCCACCAGGTAATAATCTACAGCAATTTATATATACAAGGCCAATCTCTTCGGCAAACGTCACTGACTTCATTAATGATAGCTCAATATTTTCAATTCCAAGGACAGTCGGAACTAAACGTTGAGCCTGATCCTTTCTCCCGGCCTTGATTTGCACAGTAGAAGAACTAGTTGTGATATTTATATCTCCAAATGATTTAACATCTTGTAAGATTGATTGTAAAGAAGATGATATTTTAATTTCCAAGTTTTTTTCATTCAAGAGGCCAGCACTCTCTACATCTTCTATGTATTTCGCTGCTTGAGATGTTGTCTTCTCAATTTCTCTCAAACCAATGTACATTTGTAATTCATTGGCATATAGTGTCATTTTGGAAAATTCTTCCTGCAGTGTGTGTAGCTTAACTTTTCTGTGTTCCAATTGTTTAAGAAGAGTGTTCATATTGAGTTTCAGCTTTGAGTGTTTAGATTCCAGGTCTCCAAGAATTTGCTGTTCTAGTCTATTTAGGTAATGATCTAATGACCTCCTCATAGTATGAATGACTTTAATTGCTGCTGTTTTCTGAATATTGTTTGTATTGATCCTGCGTTTCAAAAACTTTACAATCTCACCAAAGTTTTCCTTTAGGTCCTTTAAATCTTTTTCAAGTAGTTGGACTGAGGCAGATGATTTTACATTTGTGAGGATATCTGACAGTGGCTTGATGTCTTGACATTTCTGATGTTTGGTAACACACTGGACACAACAAGGGCATGCATGGAAGGAACAATAGAGTTCAAACTTTTTATTATGCTCTTGACACTGGCTGCTTATTTCTTGCATGAATGCAGGTAGCTTGTGGTACTCTTCTGTAGACATAATTTTGTGGTATTTAGATGATGGTGACTTTTTGTGATGTTTGTCACAATCCATACAAAAGAAAATTTCACATTCTGTACACCATGTGACTGCCTGGTTTGATACAGCTTCGTCTTGACAGAGTGTACAAACTTCTTTACAAAATGATGATGCCATTGTCTTTTCTGTCTGAAATTTAATAGTTGATGACAGATAAAATTGTTTGCATCTGTATGTTATTGTGTGTTACTTGAAAAATTTCTATGAAACAGCATCGCAATAAGGCTGCTTATCCATAGATATAATGGGATGAATCATTTTATAAAGTTATATATTCATGAGGAGAAAAGAACTTGAAAATTCAAACCTTATATACAGATACCATATAGCTTAATTTTTCTATGTGGCATATGTCATTTCTCCCTGACCTCAAGTTCATGGATAAAGGAAATATGAATCAAAGCGGTGAGGGGTAAAGTCGCTTGAGTTTCCGGGTATACATTATTGACAAACTACTTGACACAGGCATGGATGTTCATATCACTGTATTATGCTGTGTGTACTCACAATGGTAGCGAAGGTTTTGATTGCATTGTGTGTATTCTTGAAAACATTTCGATTGATTACTTTTTTTGGTAAATAACGCTACCAATGACCCTTTAATCTATTGTGTCAGTTACATATCTAAAAAATTAGACATTCTGTTGTGTTGAAATATTTTTATGGTTGATAGTTCTTTACTTCAAATTTAAGATTACTTTAAAAAGTGTTAGGTTTGTTACTTCCTTCTGGTATGAGATGACTTTGAAATAAAAAAAAAAACCTTTGGAAAGGCTTCTTCATAATTTAAAGATTTCTACAATTTTGATTTTAAATAGCTAAAGTAGACACCTTGATATTACCTCATTTTTGGTCCCTTGGATAAAAAAAATCTAAACCAAAACCGAATCCTTTTGATTTGTGTAATACTATAATTGATGTTTGCCATGCATAAGTCCTTCATTCTTCCCTCATTTTGAGATTTTCCCATTCATAATAAGTTATGGACAGCAGCCTTACAAACAAGGATGTCTTATACAAAGATGTTTTATGTAAATTAAATATATATTTAGGAGGCTGTTGTTCATATCTAATTCTACCAAAAAAAACATATGTTAAATTGCAATATTTGTATTAAATATGTCCATCATTGCGAGATGTTGAGTATTTGTCTATGATATATCAAATGAACAACACAAAATCAACAATAATATAGAGGTCATTTTAAGGATATCAATAAAAACACAAGTGTCCTTACCATATATTGAGCTTGCAATTGCCCTTTGTCTAGACAATGAATAAAATCAACTGAAAATATCAAAATTCCAACGTAACACAATAGTTCTATAATGACCAAAGCAGGACAAGATATAATTAAAACAATCAGCAACATAAAACAATAACATTTCCATACTAAATTAACCATAATATCAAATTTATTGATATATAAATAGAATTATCCAAGTTCGGACAGGGTTCAAAAATTAAACTAGTTTTTGCAAATTGAGGGATTCTTAACATATCTCCTTCCTGACTACATATTTCAGCTGGAGTACCAGCTTGAAGTATTTTTAATAGTAGTCTCCATGCACTTAATAGTGTTGAATATATTTAACAGTGTGGTACCAATGTATAGGAAAAGCCCATTCATTATACTTGAAAAGAAAAATTTTCATGTGATGTTTATAACTATACAAAAATATTTCTTGAAAATATTGAAGCTGTTTCAAACTTAAAAATCCTTCTCTGTCTTTGTGAATTAAAATATACCAAGTAGCTAGCCAATATTTGCCTTTCATTTGTAAAATTTCTTCTTTCTGTTTTAACAAATGAAGAGTTTTTGCTGCCTAGATGTTGCCATATCTTTTTATGTAAGAATCCTGAACTCAAAATATAAGCAGCAACTTTTAAACATTCTTACCATTATAATTTTGAACGTCTCCTGAGACCACGAGAAGGAATTCTAACAAGGAAGTTAATGTCCAAAAACAGGGACATTAACCTGTAACTATTTTTATTGGTTTAAAACTCTTTTTTGTTTGAGCATGCATAAATTGCACACAGAATAGTTTTGAAATTCATATATAATAGAAATGATAATTGGAGAAAAGAACATTTATTTTGAATAAAAGGAGGTGTGGGGTATGTGTCAATGAGACATCAACCCAACAACAAAAATAAACAAAAGTCATAAAGAGGGCAACATACCGTCTTCAACAAGAGACACGTGTCCATACACTATTTCAATCACTAAATATTCCCAAGTCTATAAAAATTGTTTATGTATCTAACAATCAAATATATGCCATATTATGATAATAATTATAATATTATTATTATCATAATATGGCATATAGTTGATTGTTAAATACATTAACAACATTATTATTATTATTATAATTATTATTATTATTATTATTATTATTATTATTATTATTATTATTATTATTATATAGTGAATTCCCCAAATAACCAAAAACATTAAGATATGACATATGACAAATACTGTTGGATTTGCTCACTTGGGACAGGCACATGGAAATATGTTTCGTGTTTGTTTGTCATTGTATGACATCATTAAACACAATACCAATGTATAAAAGTTCCTTTATGAAAACATTGTGATATTTGTTTTGAAATGTGCTACTTTATACTTCTTTTTTTTAATTAGTTTTCTACTTTCGGTTATTCCAATTCACCTATACTTTACGAAGATGTTTGTGTTTTGATCTGTTTTCCAAATATTATAAGCAATAGGTCAACTATATTTGGTATATGAAATGATTTTAAGGAATCGAAACCTGTACTTTAATAGATAACATTCGTGCACACGTTTAATAGTTATAAAAATATAGATCTGTTTTATGTTGAAAACACATTTAAAAGATATTACTTTCAAACGAATGACTGACTTTAAATTATTGAATTGTAAATTTGAACTTGGACGCGGGTGTTAAGAAAACAATTTTTATTCTTGCTAAACTTTTTTCAACACGAAGGGATCTGACAAACGAGGTAACGATATGGCGTATACTTAGAGAGTGATTATAGAAAAAAAACTTTTTGAAGTATATATTAACCAATAACACTTTATAAACTTCGATAGGAATGCTTTGAAAGCCAGCCTTGTATTAATACTCACAAATTTGAGCAGCTGTATGACCAAAAGGGACATAAAAGTCATAGTAAAATGTTCAACTTTGCCTGAAGTAGTTGAAACTAAATTTTCATGATAATTTCCTCATTTATTAAAAGGCATTTTTTACAATATTATAAATCATGTCATTACTTATGCACTTACTACTGAGGTACCAAAATGTCATTTTTAATGTAGTGTTTACATATAATATAAATATATGTTAAGTGCCAATCTGTCTTAGAATCAGGCAGTGGTGAAAACATGACAAACTCAAGTTGATATTAATTTATGTTCAAAATGTATAATGGTGCACGAATATAACACTCGTTTCCTTTTCCTGTCCTGGTAATTTAAGATATAATTTGGTTGAAACGCACGAGAAATTTACAATTAAGGAGAGCTAACTGCGTAATTTGCTATCATTCTAACTAAAAATTTTCTAGAGATTTCTCGAATTACAAGACACGCAAAAACGAAAGACCTACCATTTCTAACTCAGGATGAGGGTAACTTCAAAATAGGATGGTTAGGTCGGTGGGTTTTTTTCGGCCATGTTTTGATTTTTTTCAAAATTACCTGGTCTTACAAAGACTGGCACTTAAAAAAACATCAAAATCTGAAGGTTTATATAACTTACTTGGATGTGAATATCAAAACAATAATATATTTCTAACGCTTTCGAAAATCTTTCCATAAATTTATACAATAGAAATTATTCAATGTTCAAAAGAAATTTGATACAAATTGCAAATTGTACATTTTTTGTCAAATTTTGCATTAAACGACATCCATTACCATTGTTTGAACGATCTTGCATAGCTTCACATACATTAGATATTTTTGCTTTTTAAGAATGCCCCTCTTTTGTTTTTTTACGAATACTCACAATACGCCAAAATTAATGAATATTACATACCTCTACCATCAGTAGTCGGCGGCGTCAACATTTAGATTCAGTATGTCGTTAAAGATTTTTTTTTACATTTATTATCTTTGTAAAACCTACATTGAATTTTAGCAATAAACAAATTTAAACTATATTACGTTTTACAGTCTTTTTTCTCCTTTTTGTATCTTTTAAAAAGAGGTTAAGTAACAGAATTTTAACCCCGTGTTACGTAACCATTTGTTAAATGATTTAACCCTTGGTTATATTTTACTAAAGAAGACCAGCTGGGTCCTGGTGTTAACGTGTGTTAGACGTCAATCACGTTGGCAAATCTTTATAGAATTTTATGATACTTTGGAAAAAGCTTTCGTCTAAGAAAAACTCATCAGTGAGGCTCGAATAAAAAAAAATTAAAAAGGCCAAATAAAGTAAGTTGAAGAGCACTGAGGATCAAAAATTCCTAAATACAGCTAAGGTAATCAAATCCTTGGGGTAGAAAATTATTAATATTTCAAACAATGCAAAGTTTTGTACAGTTAATTGATTCTATAACTAGATCATTGAGAAGAAATCGAACCCTCAATTATATACAACTACAATCTTGAAGATCTCTATGGCAAGCCGTTCTCGTCAAAACTATGTTTAAACCATTTTTTCGAAAAATTTACACACTGAGAATTAAAAAAAAACACACACTGAGATTAAAAAACCTAAAAACACACACTGAGAATTAAAAATAACACACTGAGATTTCATAAAAATGCACTGAGATTACAAAAAATGAAAAACACATACTGAGAATTGAAAATTACTCACTGAGAATTGAAAACTACACACTGAGAATTGAAAATTACACAATGAGATTTCAAAAAGACACGCTGAGGTGAAAAATAAACTGAAAAACACAAACTGAGAATTTGAAATTACACAATAAGAATTTAAAATTACACACTGAGATTTGTGCGCACTTTTTATGCGCACATATCTAATTAGCATACTTAATCTGAATCTATTACAAGCTTAAAACAACTAGGGGACAGAACTCGTTAGTCCTTCAATTTGGCGCTAAATATTTTATAAAAAACATTAAAAATACAACGTATAGAAAAACTACGTTATTAAAGACCAATAGAACAAGAAAAATACCCACTTACTCTCATTACAAAATATAACCAAATGGTGAAAAACTTTATTAAAATTATTAGAAAACATTGGAACAATCTGCAAAAATACAAACAATGCAGTGAATTTTTTTCCCAAGTGCCTATTATAGTATATATACGTAACAAAAATATAAAAGATTACCCTGCAAATCAGGGTAACAGTTGAAAGACTTTGGAAAAGTCACCACAATTAAACAGTTTTAAGCAAAAAATCCCGTTTTACTGTTATTAGAAATCTGAATTATAGGCAACAAACTTATGAATATGAGTTAGCAAAAAAAGTTGTTAAGTCTTGAAATTTATTATGAATGTTGGTTGTAGGAACCGCATTTCATTATAATGACAAGAGTTCGGGAGACCAAGATATTAATCTGTTGAATTATTCATCTCATGAATATTCATTAGTAATTTGCATATTAATCTCAGTGTGTATTTTTTAAAACTCAGTGTGTAATTAACAATTCTCTGTGTGTGTTTTTCAATTTATTTCATCTCAGTGTGTCTTTTCAAAATCTCAGTGTGTAATATTAAATTCTCAGTGTGTGTTTTTCATTTTTTTAAATCTCAGTGTGTAATTTTAAAATCTCAGTGTGTAATTTCGATTTCTCAGTGTGTTATTTTAGGTTCTTAAATCTCAGTGTGATTTTTTTAATTCAGTGTGTAATTTTTTCGAAAAAATGGTTTAAACATAGTTTTGACGAGAACGGCTTGCCATAGATCTCCTAGTTGCTTACATTAGAACAGTTTAGAAATTAGAAGATACAGTAGTTTACGGATGTTTAAACCACATCAATCCATTAAGAAAATAACAATCAAGAAAAAAAATAAGGGAATTGTATGAACTCTGAAAGGAGCGATACCCTGTAAGTGAGGGTAATATTAGATAAATAATTATATCCATAACTATGAACTAGGCTTCTATGAGACAGCCAACTGTCAATCGATAACACCTAGGAGGTCAACTTATGCTGATTTATTGCTTCAAGGAAATTATAGGAAATTTCAAATATTGCTACATAAATGAACATTGTTATCTAAATTTCAAATATATCTGTCAATAATGAGTAAAAAAAAATCAAGTCAGTATGTTAGAAAATATGTGCATGATATGGAGCAATTGACCCAGAATTAAAAAGATGTGACTGGTGCATTGGTCTAAGTCCTTGCAGGAACGTCATCACCACTCTATCTTGTTGAAAACCCATATTTCAAAAGTAATTTTTAATGATTTGGATCCTCGGTATGAGCTTCCATATAGAAAACAACTGTTCAAAACATAACATTTAGAAACAATGGTTTTGTAAAGTTCTAATTTTCGATCTACTAAAAATATGTTGATCAGCATAATTGTGTTTAACTTTCTTACGTTATTTTCTTTTTAAATTTTGTAGCATGCAATTGACAGTAATTAAAAAGTGATTTATAGTCACTTTTGATAAAGTTGCAAAAATCAGTGTTATCGATTAATTATCGATTACACCAAAATCCTTTAAGTAATCGATTACTTTTGACAGTAATCGTGCTCATCCCTGATCTGGACACATGTGCTGGATTATATAGCGTAAAGTACATGTAAATTTGTACGGTTATGAGAAGGAGAAGTTCTTGTTTGCTTTATGCTATGTCCAACATTACCTCAAGCAAAAATTTTAAGCAATTGTGTTGTAGTTTCCAAACTTGATAAAAAGGCGTTACATTTTATTGTATATGCAAATAAGTATACTGAATAAAGATATCAGTTAAGGCCACACCGAAATTAATTTCTTTCTATTCTGACTCGAGAAAGTTTCTTTATCGACAAAGTTTGTACTAAATACGGTATATACTATCAACGACAAAAACTTTTTTTATTGACGTCATTGTCAATTTACTATCTACTACACCTTTTTTGTTGGTGTCTTTGTTAGATTAAATTGTATGTTTGTTTGAAGTTTTTAGTCGATTGTGTTGTATGTCTGTGATGTATGTTTACAAAGTTTGGGCTGCTCGATCCCAATTATTGTCACATTAACCCATTTTGTCTGTTTGTGTTGCTCACCCAATTTTGTCAATAAAACGGAACTGTAAACAACTGTCATACAAGTGTGAGGTTAACTTAACTATAAAACCAGGTTTAACCCACCATTTTCTTCGGAAAATGCCTGTTCCAACTTACGAATATAACTGTTGTTTTTTACTTGTTTCGTTCATTGAAAGCGTTTGATTTTGTCAGTTTTTAAGGACTTCTCTTATTTGAATTTACCTTAGAGTTCCGTATTTGTGTTATACTTTTTCACTAACTTCTAACATTTCTAGGTAGCATTTTTTCAAACAACCACCACATTAATCATCATTTTTAAGCTGGGCTTCAAAGTTATTGTGTACCTACTTTAGGAGCGGTGTGAATCAGATGAGGATATTATAAAAATCCAAAGATCTGTTAGAGTGCATAAAATCTAAGCCTCTTTCCTCTTGCAATAGTGTAAAAAACATATGTCTTTTCTACCCTTACGGCAATTTTTCCCAATTCCAAACCGAAAATCAGATTAAAAGAATTGGTCCTGCTTTGTTTCATGAAAAAGAAAGGCCAATGTAAATACAAGTATCTTGTCTTAGGGAGGATAAATCTTACTCGGATTCAAACAAAAAATTCTCTGTACATTATCAAGATGCTTGATTTCTTGATAGACAACATATTTGTTACGTTAAAAGGACGTAGTTTTTCAACAATTAATCGGCATTTCCATGGGAACATCATAAAAATATTTAAGTTTCGATCCCTATTTGCATAACTATAATATAAATCTTTTGTGTAGTATTTGCTTTAATCTTTTTAAAATTCTAAAAAATTGTTTTAAATTCTTCAACCTTATGTCGACGAAAGACAATTTTTAAACTAAAACTTTTAAAAAGCTGTATATTTGCAGATAGCGATAGCGATATTTTGGGCAACTGTTTGAGTTGCTATGAATAGCCGTTTAATTAGCAATTTGCGTGATTGTGGTCAATTGGTGATATCAATGACTTCCTCAACATTAAGTAAAGGATAAATAAACAATTTAATGACAAACAAATATTTAGTTTTCAATCATTTTCATTATTTTTACTGGAACTTCTGGAAATCGGCACTTTTCCAGAATTGGGACTGCGACACCAGCAATGACAAACATTATGGTACAGGTAATCTATCTAATCCTTCCTGCAGCATGGTGAATGTATTGAATATTTTCAACTCTGTTCCCCGACGTAGACGCAGTCATTGTCATCGTTTTTATACATCACATAATTTTAATGATGTCTATATAATTGACCTTCTGCAATTTATACTAAAGTCGTTGGGTATTTATTACATTCACACGAAGATTTATTCACTACCACTTTCAAACTTCATTCTCTGTACAACTTATGTTTGGAAACCACTGTTACAAATACCCATTCAAACCAATACAAACTTACATAGGTCATCTCGGATAATGCAGGTCACAAACTTTTCAGACATTTTCGCATTGGACAAGATGAAAAGCAGAAAAGATCCTTTCTAAAACTTTCCTTTGCCAACAAAGGTCTCGATGCCGTCAACTTTGGGAATATATTCTTCATCATTAATCAGTTATATCGAAAATACCCTCCTCCTATAAATATAAGCCTGTACCTCTCATCTTTTATACCTATACCAAATCAATTGCGAATAAAATTTTCAACTACAAACACGTGTTGCAGGATCACAGTATTGACGACTTCAGGTCTAAACATCCTGATTGCGCTTGTGCAAGTTCCCCATTCATATATAATCTATCTAGCTGGCAACATTATTACTGGTGACCTGAATATTGTCAATAATACTTCTATGCGAAATGTGTTATCAAAAGGCCCGAAATATCGTGAGCCTAGATCCATCATTTTGAAACCCAACTTTAAAATCCTGATTTGAGGATAATGCTAGGCAATGGGCTAAACGCGAAAAGAACATGTCGATACTCTTTCAAAATGGGTGTGGATCGTTGATACAAATTAGAATTAAAAAAAAACTGAATGGGTCAATGAACCGACATGCTATCGATCTCTTAAGACCCAAAGCACCTGTCCTTCCTTCCTCTCTGACAAATATGTTGCTGTCACCGCAGATAAATTCCAAAACAACATCGTCTTGTGTGTAAATCACATTATGTAAACTTCTTGATAAAGGAACTGTCACTTGGAAAATCAACATATACTCCTACGACACTTACCTAAGAAGAAATCTTGAATAATCATAGTCTGTTCTATTTTTCTTGGAATTTCAACCAAAGATGAATAATTGGATCTTCTTTAACTGTATTGGATACCTAAATTACATAATTGTCCTTACAATCAACGTTATTTTGCTGGGTCTTCCAAGTGCTTCTCGAAACCTCTTTCTAGATCATTTACATCAATTTTTTTCAGCAATCAAAGCCGGGTTTCAGAGTTTTGGTGAACCTACCGACTCTAGAGGTTGCATAAATCAGATTTGGATACTAAAAAATGCAAAAATCTATAAAAAGAGTATATACAATCAAAGATTCTGTTCTCTTGCAATAGTATTATAACAGTCAACTTTTCTACCCTTTATACAAGTACTATCCATTTCAAAGTAAAAATAAAACAAATTCAATGAATTCGTCCTGCTTTGTATCAATAAAAATGAATGGCCAACGTAGATACAAGTTTGTTGTCTTATGGAGGGATAACTTGTATTTTGTAAACAAAAATTCTTTGAAACTGACATAATCAAGATGCTTGATTTCTTGTTTGACAACATATTTGTTACATAAGATCAACGTTTTTCCAAAAAATCATCGGCATCCCCATGGGAACTAACTGTGCTCCTCTTCTTGTCGACTTGTACCTTTTTTTCATATGAGGCTGTTTTATGTCTCGTTCAAATCTTTTAAGCCAACTGCAACTGATTTTTACAGTTTGTTCTTATGTAGTGTTGTTACACCACTGTCCCAGGTTAGGGGGAGTGTTACGCGCTAACAAACATGTTTTATAGCTTGCTGTTCGATGTGAGCCAAGGGTCCGTGTTGAAGACCGTACTTTAACCTATAATGGTTTACTTTTACAAATTGTGACTTGGATGGAGAGTTGTCTCATTGGCACTCATACCACATCTTCTTATATCTATAAACCCCGCCACATTTTGTGTGTGCCTGTCTCAAGTCAGGAGTAAATGAGATGATGTCAGCTTCCCAATTGTGAACTTTCTATGTAGCAACATTTCTTCAGCACCTGCATATGGAGTATATATCTCTCAGTTGAAACGATATTCAAGAGCTTGCATTTCCTTGACAGATGGTTGCTGCTTACAAGAAAGCTTTTACCTCCAAGAGTTCAAAGTGGTGTGGTTGAAATCGAATTTCAAAAATTATATGGACGCTATCACGAGTTGGTTGACAGTTATAGAATATCTGTTTCAGAGATGACGACGGATATGTTCCAATTGTCGTAACAACAACTCGTCTTCTTTTCCTCTAATATGACATATCAAATAAGATTAATCAGTGGGTTCGTACTTACATGAGCAATACGACGGATACCACATTTGGAGCAGGATCTGCTTACCATTCAAGAGCACCTCAGGTGACCCACAGTTTTTGCTGGGGTTCGTGTTGCTCAGACTTTAGTTTTCTATGCTGTTGTTTGTCTTTTGGACGTTATTTGTTTTTTGCCATGACATTGTCAGTTTGTTTTCGACTGAAGATTTTGATTATTTCTTTGGTATCGATCTTTTGCCCCTCTTTCAGATATTTTAAACTGAAACGTTCAAATAAAGTAAAATAATGATTTTCTTTTAGATAAAAAGGATAATGTATAACAGAATTAAAAGTGTCCTCACACTATTTTGTGCTACTCGTTTAACTTATTTGTCAATTTTGAGAAAAGAATTTAAGAAATTGCCACTCGTCCATTTTTAGCCCAAAAATGTGAAGAACAACACCAAAAAGGGTATCTTGGGTTTTTTTGCAATACTGCATAGGTGGCATCTATATAACTGGAATTTCCATAAATACTACGAAGTACAACAAAACACAACATGAACATTAATTTGGCTTTTCTGTCATACGTTCTTTATTTATTATATAACGTAAAATATTTTATTATATCTACAATTTATATTATACCAACTAAAGTATGATGGAAAAAATGCATAAAAAGCTTTCATCAGCATGATTTTCATTTCAGAGTTTTCTAAAATTTTGTCTAAAATGTAGGACGATAGACATTGATGCCATAGTCAATGTTATCAATAAGGCAGATACATTTGAATACATAGCTTTCATGAATTACTTCCAAACTAAACATATCTCTAGACCTAGAAAGTAACATCTTTCTCATTTGAAATGACAATCTTATTTCAGTTATTAAATTTCATTTTTGCTAAATGAATAACCATATTAATTTTTTTAAACCTCAAAAGATATTCGTAAACACGTGTTTTCCCATATATTGACTTAAAACATTTGAGAAAAACATATTCTAGTGTTAAATATAAAAAAAAATTAATGCAATGCAAATGTAGGTGACATATGCATATTTGTCGTCTCTTTATTTTAAAAATGATAAAACATATACTTAACCCATTGAAATAAAAATTTAACACGATGTTCTGTTTTTCAAACTCTTAGTCCTGTGATTGGATTCCATGTTTGCAATGTAACTAAAAAAAAACTGACAACAATGGGACACTGAAGTTTCATTACAACATTTACAGTTATCTCCCCTGAAAGGCATTCCTTTCCCTTAAAAGATTGTCTTTGAAATAGGAATGGGTAAAGGAAGATAAAAAAGTTTAAAATATTTTTTCTACGAATAACGCACAATTTGTTTTACAATGATTTCCAATGGTGAGAATAGACAACTCCTAGTGTTGATTAAAGTTCAGTTGATTGCAAGTTTTCCATTTTTTGGTGATTGTGGTGATGCCCATAACATACATACAATTTGCTGTTTATTGATAAGGTTTTGATAACTTTCCAAAATTTTAATTGTATTGTCGGTGCAAAGATTCACATGCTAGATAATTACTTGTTAATTCAATTTTTGTAAAAATGTTTCAAGAATAACTGGCGAATTGCAACCTGTTTAAAACTGCAATCATTTCAATAACTCAATACTGCAAATTCCTCAGGAATTGATCATTCTACTTTCTTTTTTGAAAAACCAGAAATTTTTAAGTTGACAGTAAATATCGAATAAAAACAGATTGATGATACAGAACAATTGATTCGGTTGAATGATTCGGATCAAATGGCAGTAAATCAACGGGTTTTTTTATGAGAAATTTATTTTCTTATAAATAATAATTGTTTTCCTTGTGTAATTCAGTTTGAAATTATTGAACATTTTACAACTTGGCTTCTAATGTTGTTTTTGTTTTTAAAATAGGGATACCTCCACGCAGGTATAATGGGAAGTAAAACTATCAGTTGACCTGAGAAAATTTCTTTTTTTATGAAATTGAATAGAGAAATTGATTTTTAAAATCTAAATTTTGCTTTTGTTGAAAAGTTATATAAACTTAATCGTCTTTACTAAGCCAACACAAGTAAAATGATAAGCGAGCATTTACCATAATAATTATGATGTGAATGTTTTAAAAAGTAGGTAAAAATTAGGGTTTTGACTCAAGTATTGGGATTCGTAAACATGGAAATGTGACTTTGCCAGCAGAGCACGGTGTTATGGACACATTCACGACATATTCTTGTCTTTCTTGAATTTTTCAAAACATTTTTGTTCCTACTTTGTTTCGGAAAGTTTCATTGAAATTTATTCAACTGTAAATACCGACATATTTAAAAAGGAGAAACACTTATGATATTTAGAACTGAAGCTTGCTACTGACAGAGACACTTAACACCTTTGATATTGTTCTGTAATAAGCATATTTTCAAATTCTAAAAACCAAAATATTTGGTCTGCCATCACTCATGTTGCATGAAACTACCATCATTCCTGTGTCTCTGTGTATGTCTATACCAACAGGAATGAAAATGGCATTAGCTTCTGATAGTATTGTCTTACTTGTTTTACCATCTTGTGACACCACTACAATTTTATTGGTTCCTAAAGAAGCCACATAAACAAAGCCATTAATGTCTAATGCAAGTCCACACGGAGATTTAATACCATTGTACATATATGTCCATAAAGGTTCCCCAGTCATTTTGTAACAACTTACTTTGTGTTCTCTCGCGTTAGTGCAGTAAACATTTTCTTTAAATAATGACATACAGTTTCCTCCAACTCCTTTTAAGATTTTATGAGACATATCTTTCAGATTTACTAAAGTACATTTTTCATCCAGAGTACCGTAAGTGCTGATTAACAAAATTTGACCGTCACTTGTTACTCCTTTACAGTTATGAGAGAGTTCGATTGTTTGGATGATTTTGTTCTTTTTTATACCAATCAGTGCTGATTGATTTAATGTTCCAAATGATATGGCTACTGAATTTTTTTTAACAATGCAAAGATCATATGGAGAGCTTTTGAATGTCACAACAATTCTCATAAAGATGCCATCTGTACTAAAAAGCAATAGCCGTTGTTGTCTGCCATCAAGAATTAAAATTTTGCCATCAGGTAATATTCGACAGGCATTCATTGCTACAGGGCAAACTCCTTTGGGCATTGTCACAGACTTTATTAATGATGGTTCAATATTTTCAATTCCAAGAAAAGCTGGAACTAAATGTTGAGCCTGGTCCTTTCTCCCGGCCTTAATTTGAACAGTAGAATAACTAGTTCTGATATTTATATCTCCAAATGATTTTACATCTTGTAGAATTGATTGTAAAGAAGATGATATTTTAATTTCTAAGTTGTTTTCTTTCAAGTGGCCACCACTCTCTACATCTTCTATGTATTTTGCTTCTTCAGATGTTGTTTTCTCAATTTCTCTCAAACCAATGTACATTTGTAATTTGGTGGCATATAGTGTCATATTGGAAAAATCTTCTTGCAGTTTACGTATTTTAACTGTTCGGTGTTCCATTTGTTTAAGAAGTGTTTTCATATTGACCTTCAGCTTTGAGTGTTTAATTTCCAGGTCTCCAAGAATTTGTTGTTCTAACCTGTCTATGTAATCATCTATCGACCTCCTCATTGTACGAATTTCTTCAATGGCTTTTGTTTTCTGAATGTTGTTTTTATCAATCATACTTTTTAAATACTGCAAAATATGTTCAAAGTTTTTCTTCAGATCCTTAATATCTTTTTCAAGTAGTTGGACAGAGGCAGAGGATTTGACATTTGTTATGATCTCGGACAGTGGCTTCAAATCCTGACATTTCTGGTGTTTGGTAACACATTGGACACAACAAGGACATGTATGGAAGGAACAATAGAGTTCAAACTCTTTTTTATGCTCTTGGCACTCGCCGCTTACGTCTTGCATGAATGCAGGTAGCTTCTGATAGTCTTCAGTAGACATGATTTTATGACATTTAGATGATGGTGACTTTTTGTGATGTTTGTCACAATCCATGCAAAGGAAAACCTCACATTCTCTGCACCATGTAACTGTCTGGTTTGATAAATCATCGTGTTGACAGAGTGTACATACATCTTTACAGGGTGATGATGCCATTGTCTTGTTATGTCTGAAATTCAATAGTTGATGACAAATATAACATGATTTGTTTCTGTTTATTATTGTGGATATACCAACTGGAAAACCTATACCTTATATACAAATGCCATATGTTTCTTTTTGGTGTATGTATATTTTCCTTGACATCTTGTGCAAAGCGTGAAGGAACTTTATTTATCGAAGCACTGAGGGGTATCACTTACATACCTGAATATATATATTTTTTTGATAAATTGCTTGACATGAGTATGGCTATGATGTTAAGAATGTTCATATCGGATTATAATGTTGTGTGTACTCTAGGTAGGGATGAAGCCTGCAATATATTTGAATATAGCTTCCCAGGCAATTACAGTCGAGTTATGATTGCAGAGAGTTTAGTTTTGAAAAAAATTTTAAAAAAAACTTTTTGTGTAGCTCTACCTTTGAAATTTTTTGTATAAGTTAAACTTCCAATATCTTCATGGTGGTAGTTCTCAAATTTTAAATTAGATAGCTAGAGTGCACGGCATGGTATTACCACTTTTTGTCCCTTGGATAGGAAAACATAAAAGAAAACCTTGTATTTTTTATATCAGTGATGATAATAATAGTATTAATGACTTTTACATTAAAATTAGAAATTTGCAAATTGCCATTATGATTACCTACGGAGTGTATGTCAATGAGACATCAACAAAATGACAAATACACAATAACAAAATGACACCAAGAGTTCAATACAGGTTTATCAACAATACACAAGTGTCTATACCAGATGTTTAGACAGCGAATAAAATCAACTTACAATATAAAATATCAGATAAAACACCTGTGTCCCTAACATAAACATCACAATATTCTATTAAAACTTTCGCCAACAGAAAAAAATACATTTCTTGCAAAGGAGTAGGCCCGATAAGACCCCATTTTGGCATTTTATTGGAAAGAATGATTACTTCTGTTAAATAAATATGGGCTGTTTTTGACAATACAATGCACATGCATCAGGTACTAGCATCATAAATTCATGCACAATTACTGAAATCTTCACAATTTTAGCATTTGTACTTATTTTTGGACGATTTTTGTCTAAGAGAGAGGCGAAAGATACAAAAGGGACATTCAAACATGTGGCATCCGTCATTTTGCTCATGTTAGTACAGACGCGGTTATAAGTTTAATTCTGTAAGTCACATTCGAGAAAAGGAGGGGCGGGGTTGTAGTAACGAAATAGGAATATATCCGCTGTCATCTATAAAACGGAAATTCCATATTGGACAACCAACTCGTGATGGCGTCCGTAAAATTTACGGAAGTGGCCGCACTTGTGTTCAGTCTCAATATTTACATTTATGTTGTATTTGATTATGATACATAACATATATAAAGTTTGATACTGAGCACAAATGCGGCAATTTCCATTTTAGAAAAAAAAACATCTGAAAGTGACGTTTTGTGGCATAGTTGATAGATTTTTAATATCTAAGCTTGAATTTAGGCGTTTTTAAGGACCAAGGTCAGTTGAAATCTCTTACATAAACTAAATGAATCGACTGAAAAAGACACTTAAAAATGTAAAAAATGTACTTCAAATTTGAGGCCAAAATAACCCCTTATCGGACCGTCTCCTTTTTAATCTATAAATTGTATTAATACTGTTCAGACAGAGTATAGAACAATACTGCTTTTTGTAAACTTTAAGGGCTCTCACCATTACCCCCTGACTATATCATAAAATTGTGAACGGAAACGGGGAATCAGCCGATTTTAGCGCAGTTCAAAGCATTCGTACAATTTTACAGTATCGAATGTATTTAACATTGTATTATAGAAATGACCATTGGTTATACTTGAGAAAAAAAATAATATCATGTGTTGTTTAAACATGTACAAAATATTTCCTGAAAATTAGATCCTTTCCTGTTTCTGTTTTAGTGGTTAACAGTTCTACTTTCTTTTTTAAGAATTGAGAGTTTTTGCTGCTTAGTTAATGCCATTTCATTTGTATAGTACACAATTTAATGTTATTATGTTTAGCTAGTGATAACTTTAATCTAGACAGCAAATAAAATCAACGGAAAATATAAGAAATCAGCCAAATAAAAGAAGTCGTATAAGGACATATAACTAAAACTTTCGCCCTATTAAAAAAATCTAATTTCTATCAAATTCATTAATTTATAAATGTTATTAACACAGTTCAGAAATAGTTCAAGAACTATACGTTTTTTTTTGTTTTTTTTTTCAAATTTCAGTCTTAACATTCCTCCTCCTCAGTTGATTTTAGCAGCTTAAAATGTCAAAGTTCAAAGTCTTCATACGATTTTATAGTATTGAATGTATAACACATTGTAGTAAAGGAAAGGTCGTTAGTTGAACTTGACAATGATATCATGTGTTGTTTAAATAGGTACAAAAATATTTTCTGAAAATTTAAAATGTGTTAAATACCCCATTTTGATTCTGTTTTATTGGTAAACATTTCTACTTTCTGTCTTAAAGAATTGAGATTTGCTGCTTTTTTGCCATTTCATTTTACATTAGAACAGCTGACATAAAAAAAAATCAGCATCCTTTTGTTTTGAACATCTTTTTAAACATTCTTACCATAAGTATTCTGAATTCGGGATTTTATCACAAAAGTATGTTGTACAGGGAAGATAGAGTCCAGAAACAGGGACACTTACCTGTTACTATATTTATTGGTTCTCTCTCATTCATTGGATGAGGTTCAGATTGCAAGGTCAAGATGTCAGTCAGATAGAATTCCTTCGGTGTCTTCCCGATTGTCCCACTATTTAAGATTACAGGTAAAAAAGTAATGAAATTTTGTGTGACAATCGGAAATATGTTTGTGGGACAATTGGGAAGTTTAAATGTGGGACAATCGGGAAGTGTTTTGAAAGTGATTAATTTGTTTGTATAGGGTAGAAGGATTAGTTACAGGCAAACTATCAGTGTAAATTATAAAATATGAAATAAAGATGAACAAATAATCATGAATATTTACATATTTCATTTTGCACAGAATAGGTACAATTTTTGCTAATTTGCTTTGTCTCTATGCCTTTTTGTGTTTCTTTGTTACATATTTGGTTTTTTTTTTCATAGTAATTAAGATTATAACACAATTTTGACTGCCGTACCCTTATTTTTGACATTTTTATCTATCATGTCTGTTTGTTTTGTTCACACATCGTTGTCAATATAATGGAATTTTGCGACTGCCATACAAGTGAGAGGTTAAGCTAGCTATAAAACCAGGTTTAATCCACCATTTTCTACATAAGAAAATGCCTGTACCAAGTAGGGATTATGACAGGTGTCATCCATTCGTTTGATGTGTTTGAGCTTTTGATTTTGCAATTTGAATATGGACTTTCCGTTTTGAATTTTCCTCGAAGTTCGGTATTTTTGTTAGTTTACTTTTTTTTAAGTATCATCAAACATAGAATATAATATTTAGTAAAAAAATATCACATATTAAGCACTACTCAGTTTTTCATCCTGTCTTGTGCAAAGTCATTTGTTTTTAGTTCATACCAGGCCAAGTTATTCATTTTCAAAATCCTCCTCTCCTCCCCCTTTCGAAATCAAATGGTCGTCTCATAGTTTGCTACTTCCGGTTAAGAAAATGTGATTTCCAGGCTCATATGATAGCTTTCTTTGCACTGATTCTAAAAATATATGGTTTAATATATATTTTATCTTAAATATGAGAGATAATTTGCTACTTCCGGTTAAGAAAATGTCATTTCTGGTTTCATAAGATAGCTTAATTTCCACTGATTCCGAAAATATATGGTTTCTATATACTTTTCCTTTTATATAAAGGAGATAATAAGCTACTTCCTGTTTAAGGAAGGCGACTTCTAGTGTCATTTAAAAGGTTATTGTATGCTGATTATAAAAATACATAGTTTTACATTTTTTTTCTTGAAATAGTGCAAAAAAAGCTACTTCCGGTTTTCACAAGGTCACTTCCGGTTGATATTTATCAAGGTCATGTGTCACCTAACCCTGTGCAAAATACACTATTACCGTGTTCACACTATGAAATCTGCTCCAGGTCGAAACCGGAATACTTAATCCGAACTAATTACCCCAGTTCACACTTAATATAAAAATAGCCCAGTTTGAGCATTTTCCCTCTCAACAAAAATAGAAAAATATTAGCCAAAATTGTAACCCGCATCTGTCCATTGTACACGTTTACATTCTTTTTCATCACAGTTGCATTATTTCAAAGTCTGAAATTCTTTATCGCACTCCTGATCAGCCACTTTCCGTGTTTTCAAATAATGTCCTTTTATCAAAATTGCACCCATTTTGTTCCTCAAAAAAATCTTATAGGTTTTCTGAAAGACTGAACAATTCGTACTCTCATCATTTGTCATTATGCAGGTCTTTCAACATTAAATACACTTATCCCTCTTGCTGCTGCTAATTTAATATGGTTATATTTCGTGTGCTAGAAAATATGGTCACGCCATTTACGACGTTATCAAAGATTTTTTTTTTTTAAGAGAAAGAAATTTAACTGTATTATCTTTGATGTTTTATTTGAAAGAGATATAGTCATGAACAGATGGCCCGGTTTTGCATAAATTAAAACAATACATAAATTTAATCCGGATTAACTAATTCGGGTCGAACCCGGTTTAAAAAGGCATAGAGGGCATTAGGCTTCATCATGTACCAAAATGAAGTTATATTCAATTTACCATAAATTTCAACATTTAAGGGCCAATAACTCCTATAAGGTATAATCAGATCGCTTCAGACTAAATGTACCATTTGTTCGTATGAACAATCCAAACATTTAACACCAGTTATTTTATATGTAGCTTTTATAGTATAAGATAAAATGCCAACACAAGCAAAGGCAAAATTTAGAAAATGACCTTGACCTTTGACCTTGACACAATTTTCATGTTGGTGTAACAAGGACCTCAAATCAAGATGCCCTATGTCTCTATCACTTACGGTCAATGAGTTACATTCATATATCACTG